TATGCATTCATGAAAAATTTATAAAGTGACGGCAAAATCAAACCGTCGTGGTATGGCTTTCTTTTGCGTAATTCAAATGATTTGCATGTTGATATGAAAAATATGTGACATCCATATGGGAACATAAATAAAATTGACGTCAAAATATACTCACATACTCGTATCAAAAGCGTTGTATATGTAGTAGCGTCGTGAAATTTTATTTGGACTAAATGACGGCCTCGGTTTAGCACACCGCCTTAATTCCGACGGTAACCGGTTCAATTCCTCGTACGGCACAAACATTTGTATTATTGAATATGATTGTTTGTATCGATCTGGGTGTTTCCTATATTCCTATGTATTGTATTTACGAAAGAAATACATATTTATGTATTTGCATCACATATCTAATACCCATAACACAAGTTTGAGCTAGCTTAACTTGGGTGTAGATGACGTTGTGTGGATTGTCCTGAGATTATTATTATATGTTCTACAAGAACACAGGCTCTACCATATCTCAATTATAAGAATAAAAGAAAATATTTTGTTGTTATAAAACAACGTAAGCATACTGTAATGACTGCACCTAAATTCAAGTTATTAACTACCATCAACGTTAAAGTTATCGTTAAGATAAAACAAATATGCAAGTCACGTCAAAATAATTTATTAATATGGGACATTTTTTGCCACTTATATAGATCGAAATAACTTTGAATGAATCTTGAACTTTTACCCCCCTAGGAGGATGCAGGTTGGGGTCTCGGGGCAAACCCCGGTGCCCCGAATTCCGAAGGCAACAAATCACTTCGCATATTTGCACAGCAAGCTGTAGGAATGGGAGTTTACGGCCCTACGGGACGGAATATGATCTGCTGTATCTTCTATCACAAAAAGTTAGAAGAGTTAGTTAAATTAAAAATTGACATAAAATCTTAGTGTAACCTTATACGAATGCACAACCTTAACTGTCGGCGTACATACGTAACCTTATAAGTCGGCACAATAATCGCACAATTATCTGTATAAAATAATTTAAGTAATTTACAAGCATCTGCGTACTCGTAGGTATATGGCTTTCTATCGAGTTTTCCTTTACTTACATAGTTCAGAGATCCGTACCGGCTTCGCACGGATGCATTACAAATCTTATCGGCTTGTTCTATACTATAACACGCATGTATTATACATATAAACCTTCTTCTCGAATCACTCTATCTATTGCTAAAAACTGCATTAAAATCTATTGCGTAATTTAAAACAGAGCGCGGCGACAACTTCGTTTTAGACTATGTAAAGACACAGATAATATAATATAAAGATAATAGAGTATGTCAAGTTCTACAATCACCACACCATCCACAGTTAAAAAGGCCTCTGACTATCCTATCAGGGAACAGTCGTGAATGTATGTTCTGGGTTGTGAATATATGTTCTACACCGTTACGATTGGGTTTATTCCCTCACTCACCTTCTACGAAGAACATTCCTCCCGTAGAATGTAAAGGTATGAATTATAAATTAAAAATAGCAGTTAACACAGATAATACAGTTTTCGCATACTCATTGCAGTATTAGGTCAGTCGGGGTCGTTGTACTGTTGGTAGCAAGTATAACTTTATTGCCCCGAAATAGTACCTACTTGAAGTCTACGTGAAAATTGATGACGGCCACTCGTAAATATCTCGCAAGCAAATACATTCCACGGTATAGAAACCATACGTAAAAAATATAACGAACAGTGTTATATGTTTTAAAATATCAAAAGGAAGGTTTTCGAGTAAACATTATGTATGACGCTTTGTTATATAATAATTGGAGAATTCGCTAGGAGCCATTATTCTCTTTTTATAAGACTTCAAAAAGGGAGAATATCTTCAAATTGACTATATTTTTTATGTGATACGTTATAACTTTTTCTACGTAAACAGACTGAAATCAACCTTATTTTTGTGCTCTAAAGCTGGTTCTCACCATGTAGGTAGTAATGTATATTTGATCAAAAGTAGAAATGGGTCGTAGGTTTTATCTGAACACCATTTTTTCGGACAATTCACTCAAAAGCTCGTGTTATGGGACGTAGTAACTGATATAAAAAATACGTCTGTAACGTGCGAGGAATCCAACCCACGACCATCGGAAGTAAAGCAGTTTCTGGACAACCAAGGTCGTCAGAAATATAATACTGTAAAAATAATGTACCTTATTTTAAAATATTAACTTTAAAAATAAAATAAATTTTAATAATTTTTCAAAATGTAATTACCTAATATTTATAGTATGGCAAATAAGGCTGAAAGTGTATATCTTACAATAAACATAGATACTATACCTTTCAGTTTACAGTAAATAAAACTTTATATAATAAAATAACCGTATTACCTTCACATGTATGTACTTAATAACTACATTAAAACAGAAGCATATTATAATGCAATACCAGTGCAATATCCCTTTCAGTGCACTGGATGTTGTGTGGCCCAGGCCAAGGGGTAAAGGATTCCCGGCGACCTGGTTTCCCAGATGCGTAACCATAACAACGGGCAACGCGCATCGCCCCTCCCCTCCACCTCATCCCCGCTCTTTCCCTGTTAGTGCCCAGTATTTACTACATTCGATTACTTTATAAGGACACTATGTACTAGCTGAGCCCGAGACTTTGTCCCTGTGGTATTTATGTGCAAAGCATTTTGTGTGGGAAGCACGTATACATACATCATTAAAAGCCATATTCCAATCGGTAAAGCTGCTTCTGAGATTAGACAACACAAACGCACACACTAACAGACAGATAATAAAAACTTTTTGCTCTGGGTAATTTGAGAACAACGTGTACAAAAAGATTTTTCAAATAAATATTTCTATTAATATATACAGACATATGAGTACATTTTCATTTTTACGTTAATCGCGTCTTCGTTAGCTTAATTAAATTTTCATCCCCTATTTCATCCCTTTCACATTTTTTTTTGAGATAAAAACAAGACAATTAGGATTTTGTTTACTCATCATTTTTAATCTTTTATAAATCTTCAAAAATAATTTTATAGAATAGAGATACAATCTATCCTCACTTCTTTCACAAAAATCCTTTCAATCGTTTAGTCGTGAAAACCTATCAAACAAACCAACATACTTTCGCTTTGTAATATTAGTGTGAATATGATATAATTAGGAAACTAGAGTGATTAACCCTATGAGGGACGACCTCCTGTGGTGGTCGCTGACACGCACGATCGTGTATTAATATCGTTAAGAAAAGTGAAGTGATTTTCACTCAATTTGTCGAACGATAGCATGTAGCGATAATCAAATCATGTAATCAACTATGTTAGCCTGCTTTCTAGGCGTAAATCATATCAGAATATATAAGGTAATTTAGTTTTATGTCAATACAATATCACTTATTACTATATTGTTTATTATTGTTAAGGAAGGACTGTATTAAGGCTGGTTTAAAATGAGACACGTTCCTAGGTGAGGTAAAATATTTGTAATCAGTGGTAGCTGATTACAATTTTTTTATATAAGTATTTATGATCCCTGAAATCATCATTGCATTTACTTTATTTTGAAGAAATCGTTTTCATTTTCATCTGTACATATCTGTGTCTGTCTGTATATCTGTATTACTACTTTTCTACGGCTGAACGGAAATTAAACAAAATTAGACTTGAGTACTGTATAATGGGTTTATCTTTTAACTCAAAAAAATATCTAACAGGGATATGAAATAGGATATGTAAGTTTGTGCAGACGAATTTTCTCTTTGAAATCTTTTAAAAACTCAACATTTAATTTGATAAATTAAGTAAAATTCTATTAGAATTAAATACAGTAACGAGAGTAAGTGAGAACCCTCCCTTTTTGAAATCGGTTAGAAATAACGAGGTCTAAACCATATCACAACAGATATTGCAAAAATATGAAATGTAGGACAGAACTCAATCGGATTTCGTAAAGTTTGTTAATACAATGTTGCAGCCGTCGGCCGCTTAACGACCTATCTCCCCACACCCATACAGATGGTCTGATGTTTATTTGATCAGTTCTCTACTAACGACTGCTGCATTTGACGATATAGAAATCATATTTATCACGAATCCAATCAAACATGAAATCAGAAATATTGAAAGCCACCGCTATTTATTCGTGACTTCAACCATGGAAAATTTCCTGCCGGAAATGTTTAATAAACATGAGGTTATGCTTGTATTATGTTATCAGTAAGCGGTTCATTGTTATTATGTTTCATGCTCACACTAATTCGTATACTTATTTATTTATAACTAGTTGAATCCTCAACTTCGTACTCAAATAACTTTTTTAGTTAGTAAATTAGAATAATACAAAACACAATATTTTAAGTGAAGCTTACCAATACACACTAGTGAAAACCGCATGCAAATCAGTTCTGCCTTTGCTGAGAATACCGCGTATAAATGCATAGACAAACAGACGAAAATTCTAACAATCATTATCATTATTATAATTCTAGTCTACAAGATACTTGTGGGCATCATAGGCCGCAAAACGTACCCACACGGCCACACATAGTGGTCGTCGTCGACGATATTACAGTCGACGCAACAAGAACGTTTACCGTCAACTATGAACTAATTTAAAAAGTAGTCTAATTTTCAACTAGTTTACGTCTTCGTCAAAAAGACTTTCTTCACATATGTAAATGAACGAACAAAAATCTCATTTATCACTTGACGATGTTGGACCGACCGTCTCGATCGGCTCACCATACGAGACGAGGCGATCGCGACACGACGCAACTTACTCATTAACCAGTCGAAGAATAAACTAAGTACATAGTTTATCTGTGTTTAATTGCAAACTAGTTTAATTTTTCATGCACAAAACACGATTTAACAAAATGGTTCCTTCATTGCACTCCCACCTCTACCAGCAACGCAGTAAACTACCAGCACGCTTGTAAACGCAGATGAAGTGCTTAACATGAAAATTAATTGATAATTTCAGCGCGGTGCAATGGCGGTGCGGTGATGGCGGATGGATGCGCGGACGCGGGCGCGGGCGCGGCGGCGGACGCGGTGGCAGAGGCGGAGGCGGGCGCGATAGAGAACGCGGCGCGCGGCGCAGCGCTCGAAAGGGCATATGTGCACGATGTCTACGAACAAGCGGGCGAGGACGGCGACGAATCACCAAGGGCTCCCGCGCCTGGCGTTCAGGCCTTCCTCTCAGATCTCGACCCTGGAAGCCTTGTTTGCGATGTCGGTTAGTACAATAAAATTATTCGTCTTATGTAACTAGAATAAAAAGAAGCCAACGGCCTACTTGATGATATGTGGCAATCTATACTCATACGTTGCCATTCCAGAGAACTAAAATGTTACGCATCAATACCCTCTAATTTAGGTGCTACATCTGAATCTCTAACTGAAACACAGCTTACAATAAACTGCTTAGCAGCTGAAATAATAAAGAAAGAACCCATGTTGACGCCTTTGTAAAAAGGCTAGCTATGGTAAACTCTTGTTTTGAACTGAAATTACAACTGTTTTATTTAATTTTAGGTAAGTACCTGAATCTTTTAACAGATTCGGTCACTATTCGGTCTTTCTATATACAATTTTACAAGTATAGTATCCGAAATAGGTAGTATTTAAATAAAATTTCGAAATTTATGGACCCAGGGTCCATAAATTCAGTGTGTAAGTCGGTTTTTGATATTTTCACTACAAGTTTATCGATTTAGAGCTTCTAGCCTAATTATACCTACTTGATTAATAATACTTATTAATACTTCAACGCTTATGTTAAATTAACAATCCCTATACATTTAACGGTTGGTACCTATGTCTATACATCTGCAAATATATTGTAAATAAGGAGAAAATAGTATGTTTAATTATTTAGAGATCCCAAAAATAACTTCAACCTTAGTCTGTTTATAAAGTCCTTGCTTGCTGTTATTAATTAACTACATCCACACAATAATAACTTATTGATTTTTACACATATTACTCTAGTAGTAATATGAACCACAGAGTGGTTTAAGTAAGTGTTATGTTCTCATTTATTATGGTGTAAAAGTAGGTATCATTATCATTACATAGTATAAAATAAAGTTGCTGTCGCTGTCTGTCCGTCCCTAAGTATGCTTTAAATCTTTAAAACTACGCAACGGATTTTGAAGCGGTTTTTTTTAAATAGATAGAGTGATTCAAGAGGAAGGTTTATATGTATAAAACATGTACACCCGAGTGAAGCCGCAGCGAGTAGCTAGTTTATTATAAAAACAATAAAGCTGACAATATTAAGAAATAACTATAATCAAACTTAATATAAAACTTTGTCACGAGTAACAATATTATAACATTTTATACAATTGATATTTTTTCGATGGGCGATTTTGAAATGTTGGCACCCGTGGAGGAAAAAGTCTCTTCCCCTCCTCTCCCCATGCATATATTAACTATTATAAAATTGATTAATCATAATTATCAACCTGAGAGAGAACAAATTAATTATTTTTACAAAATCCCACACGCGCATGTAAATATTGTTTGCAAGCTTATTATCGCATCGGATTGTTTGTAGCGCGCTCGTTGTCGGCCCACGCATCACTGTTAACATCAATGTATCTGTAAGCTTTGTTTCCCATAGTAAATGAAGCTTGAAATTATTCTAAATGTCAGTTGTAGGCGGAGAATAAACCCGCTGTCGTCTGTCACTATGCCCGCTATTTATGCGGATACAACGATGACACTATCCATTGTAGTATTAATAGCCAAGATGGCTGTTTGTGAATACACAACCATATGCACAGCAGGAAGGAGAGGGTTGTTATTAATACAAACTTGTGATCATTTCTAATAATAAGTATATGTATTATGGAGAACAGCGATGCCTGACTCCCTTAAGGATTAAATTTCTGTGCTGTGGTCAATACTACATATATTGGGGGAAAGCGATTATTAGTAATATGAACTAATTACTCCATCGCAATGTACCAAGTCAGGTTGACCTCCACATGGTTAAATTATTGTGATAAATTCCTGGTGAATATATCATAATGGCTTGACCTCATAGTATGAGGTCAAGTCAGTCTCATCTTATTATCCTCTACTAATGCGTCGCTAGCTTAAACCGTTTTGTTTTGTCCCCCACAGTTTTCACACCAACATCATTCAAGGAAGAATGCATAAATACATATTTTGTTTATTCAAACAATGCAAATACAACATCTGGCAACTTAAGAACATGCAAGTAGCGTAACGTAGTTTAAATTCAAAAATACGATAGATTTCTACTGTTTTTATCCGACATAAACTGACCGGAAAAATTAAACAAATTCTCAATTCAACTACCTTAACAACCTACCATAGGTTGACAATATGTCAGGTCGACTTTTATTTGTTACTCCATGTAAACTATCAGTTAATTTCCGATAAATGTATCGATGTGATAACTAAACTGACTCATAGCAAACTGGAGTACTATTTGCATCATCGTGGAAAAAATATGTGGATAGACTTTCTGAGATTACATTGTTGCATTTCGTTAATCGATTTTTGATATTATTTTATGCAGTTAGGTTATTTAAATATTTTTATTTTTCTTAATAAATAAATGAAACAATAAACTATGTTTGGTAACAAATTTAGTTAATGAACTAATTAATTTCAAGTTTAATACCAAATTTATTTCCAGTTATACTCCTTCCCTTTATTGGCATAGACCTTATTTATCAACGTATTTTATAATAACGTCATCAAAATAGAAAAAAAATAATTTTAGACTATGAACGAATGTAGAAATTAAGTCCTTTCATTGTCAAATCCCCACTCCACTGTTGACTAGTAGGTCTATTTCATAAGTTCCCACATATTAGATTACTGTACAATGACGATAAATATATTTGCAAATCAATTATCCAATAAAATTTGGTCAACATATGTATCCAATAAAAGTTAGATAACTGACATTACACTAATTTTCAATTTACATTAGTTTCAAAAATATAGAACTGTGCGTAACGGCTGTTGAGGCAGGGCGAAATAGGACCTTAATAATTTATTTTTACCTTTAGCAAGCACCTTAAAATACAGTACAAATTAAGAAGCTTCTTCTTTGAAGTCACTTGAAAATAACAGTCTGTAATAAGTTTGATTCTTTATGTACCTTACATAGCGTGCACACCCACGCATGTTACGTTGGTTCCAATCGCCTCCAGTTCATAGATACTTGTTTATCGACATTAATGTTATAGACGCCCACATGTATTTTCCAGCAGGAAACCGGCGCGCGACCCACGACTTGTTTATCTTGAAAATATGCAAAATATAACTGAAAAAAACATGCTTGTGTAAAGTCAAAGGTTAATCGAATGAGTTTCTGATCGAAGATCGAGATCGAATACGCTTTCTCAGTACCTGATCAGGCTATTTAAAATGTTTTATACAAAGGTTCAATATTATTTATAACCTAGTTCTTCTAACAAAGCAAACAAATAATAACGTTTTATGTAGCTTAACGAATTGGCGACCAACATGAGACAATTCGAGATAATGTGAAATTACAAAATTGTAGATTACATCATCGTGGTTTCAATAGTGAACAATAAGAGATATCATTATGTACACATTGATTTGATTTGTCTTCTTAGCATTTGTACAACAAAAAAATATTCAATTTAAAAGGTGCAATACCAATCTACCTATATAATACTGTACGGTGTTCGGTAAACAAGAACGTCATTTGATCACTACTGTAGGTTACCATGTTTTCTGAGAATAAAATACGAATTACGTTGTTTCTTTTCCACTAGTTGTTACAGAATTGATTCTCGAAATTGACGAAGAAGTAGTTTCACGGAATAATATCAGTGTTTACATTACGATATCATATAGATCAATCAATATATATCAACACTACACGGATATTAGAGAAGAAATACATATACCACGGTCTCATTAGTAAAACTTGAAACCTTATATCAAATGATGAAACAAGTGATAACCTTATTTGATTAAAGAAGCGGAAACTATATCATATATTTTCTTTAGTAAGTACATTAGAAAGTTGAGTCGGATTAAATGGATATAACGCGTGAAAACTTTTGTACTTTGCAATATAAACTGTTATGGCAAAAACTATATAAATGTTTAGAACCCTCAATAATTGGTTCAATCATCTACATGTACACAAATATAATGTAAATAACGGTCTTTGGTGTTAGAGGAGAAAATACCTAATATCTATTTGCAAATAAATTTAATTCTAATAATTTTAATTTTAATCATATCTTAAAGGCATTCGATAATAAGTTCAAATTAAATTATAAAAGATATTTTTTATAAGGAAATGTTGGGACCTCATAAACAATATTATCAGGGTTTCTTAAGGGTCGTCAACATGCACATGATGCCCCTAATTGTTTAGGCGTCCATAGACTGAAACACAGTAACCGTTTACCTTCAGATGGGCCATATGCTAAAAAATGTAAATGATAAATACCTACTATAAGAAGAATGTTTTTGACAGGGTGTGGCAACGGCAAATACTTAAGCGTGAATCCGTCAGTGTTTTCGGTGGGCGGTGATCGGTGCACGCGACTCGCTGCGCACGCGCGGCATCACAACAATGAGGTTAGTTTCATTTTATTTCTAACTATTCTAATATTGTAAAGGTCTTAGCTGACCTTTAAAGCTTTATTGGACGACTACAAAATGGGGCGAGAGCAGAGGGCAGTCCAAATTCGCGAAAGAACTTTTATGACTGAAGACAAACTCATTCTGTTTTTACTTGGAGAAAATACCTCTTGAAGACCGGCCCGCCCCGGGAGACGCTAGCGAGTACTGTGAGACTCCTACTCACTAAAAACTCTAAGGTATCCCAACAAAGCGCCTATTGCCGGATTCGCGGTATCGCAATGTCAGTCCATCGCGACACCGGCGGCTTCGACCCGCTCTTCTTCGGCCCCTTCACTTTTGAAGACCAACACCTGCCTAACGAATACGACTTCAGTCTAAGGGCATTGAAGCCGTAGCTTTGAACCTCACCATGGGCCGTTTTGTTTGTATCCCCGTTTTAATAAGATAATAGAAGGGAGTTCGATAGGTTTCCTTTTTCCAAAACAAATATGCCACCGTTTCTCACGAGTACAATTATTGTGATGAAAGAATTATTAAAATCGATTAATTATATTTTGATTTTTCTATTAGAAATAAAAAATCAAATCTTTATACTCAATATTAGTTTCGATACATTTGAAAAAATATATACAATATATTGACCACTTACATTTATTGGTGTGCCATAAGAACTTATTCTTATCTTCATCGTTTCTCTTAAGATCTTTATCAAGCTACCCTACATTTCATTAACAACGACAGTGACCCCATCAATCATCGACTGTCTAAAGTTGTGTTCTAAATAATTTACCATTGTTATGTTACTTAGGTGGTCTATTAGGTGCTCTATTAGTGGACGAAAGGGAAAATAATAAAATTATAATGTAAAAAATTTGACGTTCAAGAGGCTAAAATGTCTTACATGAATAAATGATTTTTAAATTTGAATTGGAATTTATTTCTCCGTGGTCGGTTTATCGCATCGCTTTACTTTGGATGGTCGCGGGTTCGATTCCTCGCATGGTGTAAACATCTATATTCATGAGCATGATTATTTATATCGGTTTGGGAGTTTTCTATGTATATTATGTATTGTGGTGTGTGAATTGTCCAGGGTTATTGTTATCATTACGCAGTGCAAAAACTTTGTTTGAAATTTCCTTCACTTATAATTTATGTAGAGGAATACAGAATGCTAATATTTTTTTAATTATGTATAAACATTACATTAAATCAATAAAAAAATTACACACACTAACATGTATTAGACACACATATGTTTGTATGTTACCTATATTTACCAAAGTATACTTAGATTTTGAACAGAACCTTAATAATATTATATTTAAACTTGTAATTCAAATTAATTATAGTCTAATTTAGACCACTAGGCAACCACTAGTTTTTGTTACTATTATTATGATTATTATTATTACGACAAATGTGCATGGCAACAGTTGTTCATGCACTGGATTTTCATTTACTGTTAGACATAGACACCTACATAATTACACAATGTAAATAATTTGGTTTTTACGAAAAAGAAGAGTTTCTCACTTTCTCAATTTAAATTTTTCTCAATTTAATTTGTACTGTTCTGGACGGTAGGGTGAAAATATTACTACAAAAATTTTACATTCTAAAATATCCTACATGAATAAACGAATTTTGATTTCATTTGATTATTTTACATAGGTGGTGGTATGCGACAACTTATGCTTACCTTTCCGCGACGAGTCATTCGATGCGGTGCTGTCGATCGCGGTGGTACACCACTTCGCGACCGTCGAGCGCCGCGCGATGGCTCTGCGCGAGCTGGCCAGGGTCACCCGGATCGGTGGTCGGTTGCTGCTCACCGTTTGGGCTATGGAGCACGAGGGGAGAAACTTCCATTCACAGGTTATTATCAAATTCATTAATTTGGAATTTTTGACTATTTAAAAGTTTCTTTGAATTTCTGATATGCTTTTTATAAAACTACTATAGGACCAATATGAAAGTTACCATGTAGTTACAATATCATATTAGTTTTGAAAAATAAATACCTATATTATATTGTAATGGTATTTTATTTTTTCTCAACCATTTGAATTATTCAAACGGTTGAGGTACTTTAAAATTAATCACAATTGTATTAAAATATTTTTAAAAATAAGTTCTTCATTCAAATGTGCCTTTATATCTCTACGTGAAACTTTCTCTAATTCTTAATTATTTAGGATAATATTTTTTCTTATCTATACTATTTTTTGTATCTCGAAATAATTGTTTATCACTAACAGTCAATATAATTTTTGAATATGCGATTCCAGGATGTCCTGATACCCTGGCACAGACCGGCCACTTTATGTCCACCTACACCAACTCCGAGATTCTTGTCAGTTGATCATGATCAGTAAGTTACTGTTTATTTTGCTGAAATGTACCATCATTGTGTTATATGATATATCCGCGTATAGTACAGTATTTATCAGTCTATAAGACGCACCTGTTTGCTCATAGGAAGGTAAGTATGATGCAAGTTATCTCAAGACAAGCGAGCGAGTCATCAATTTACCCACTCTAGGATCGTCGTTAGTTGGTATTAATATATATTATATATATTAATATATATAATATATATATCCTAAACTACATATATATATATTCTAAACTACATTTCATGAATGAGTTTTATCAAGGTGTGTCATATAATGCAAAAAATATGGTAATAATTATGTTAAATAGTAGGGAAGACAGGTTCTTCAGTAATATAACATTCCAAATAAACGTAGATTAAGGCAACACGCCACAAGAGGAATTGACCTCAAAAATTTTGTACGAGTCAATAGCAGCGAATATGTTATGACCCTACTTTACCATATAATATGTATAGAGAAGATCTATGTACAGTAATACACGTGTTAACATTGTTAGATAAGTTAAAATTATTATTATGAAAATAAAATGACTGAATAACACAATTAAGAAAGTTATAGCAAAACCAATTATTTTTCAGCAATATCGAGCCATGGAAAAGTAGAGACGGATCTCCTGGTTCGTCGTCGCTTTCATCGCCTAACGAAACTTGCTATTCGTTTGTAAGAAGAGCACTACAGCGACTAGCTGGCCGCCGTTCTTTTCTGCCGTCATGGAACATGGGTACTCGAGTACAATCACGCCCATGTTCCTCCCGACCGGAACCACCGGCAGCAGACTTACCAATTGAGTTGCGACGACTAGACGACGCTGTTCCACCAAGATTGATCACACAATCTTCTGAATCGTCCACGATGAAGTCGAGAAGCCTCACCGACATAGCGGATATGGAACGTCGAGCGCTTGTACGATCACGGTCTAGTCTGCCCAGTCTGGTAATTGATGAAAATGATCCACCCTTAGAAGAAACCCCAGTACTAGAGATTAACGAGCCGCGAAAGAAGCCGCGGCTTGTTAAACAAAAGAAATCCATAAACGAAGATGACGCAGATGAAGATCTCGATAAGCCCACAGATATGAAAAGTCTTGTCGAAGAAATGCCTAATTTCAAGATACATACTTATAGATTACAATCCAAAAAGCCCGGTGTATTCAAACAGACATCACTTAATGAAGAATTAATGTCAGTGGAAAGATTGAGAGAAAAAGAACGTCTACGAAAAAACATACAAAAACAAGCTTCTTTAAACGAAGAGTACTTATATCGACGTCCAGGAGCGTTGGACTCAATTCGAGATTCAATTTTTTCTACATCGGCGACGACTGCAAAAAAATTTCAATCTCTAAAAAACGGCCTCACTAGTAAGTTCAAAACGTCGACAACGAATATAGATAAAGTAACCGTGTTCGTGAGAATGCTTCAGGGCTGGAAAAATCACGGACCGGTACCAGAAGTTCCTACGCCTAATGATAATAATTCAGGAAATGAGAAAATTTACCCGGAACGACGACATTCTAAAGAAGACGGGTCAGATTCATCAAAAGATAGCAGTCTTCAAAGTGATACTAGTGTTGATTCAGAAGACAGCTTTGCATCTGTAATATATGTTCCTAAAGCTGATGGATCCGGAGATCCACTATCACCGACTCCACTTTCCCCAGGGCCAACATCGCCGCGGTTAAAAGTATCTTCAGTTCCTACCTCTCCAAGAATGAAAAGTTCGCCAGGATTACCTTCTCCGAGGATTAAACAAGCTTTTCCGCTAATACGTCCACCACCATCACCAAATTCAGTTCAAGCTCCAACAGCCGTTAATAAAATATTAGTTGCTCAATACAGTTTAAAGAATTACTCAACAAGTACGGTTTGTGCTGTTCCTTTGAAACCTCAATCGAAGAGTCAACCAAATTCTCCGCCAAAATCTGAATCTGATGAAAATATACTTAAATCGGAACTTATACCAATAATAAATAAAAATATATCTGTGGAGGTATTCGAAGAAATTGACCCTATTCCTCCTATAAAAGAAGAGGAAGAAACACCAACGGAAGTAACAAAAGAACTTATAGCAGAAATCAATAAAGACATAGAAGAAATACACAAACTAACAGCTGAAACTAATCAACTTAAACCCAGAGTTATTCTACAGGATGTGAAACCATACCCAAAAATAACATTACAAACAGTTGCAGAATTACCCGAAATACCTCAATTTAAACAAAAAGTGCCAAATAAACCTTCTACAGTTGACACTTTAGACTCAAGATCTGTGGAAAAGAAAAGAAAAGAGAGAATTCGACAAATAAAAGAAATGCTGAATAAAGGTATTCCCCCTGTAAATATAAATAGGAGACAACACTTTCCAATAGTTCGCACTACAAGTAAAGCAGAACCGATTGCTAAAAGTCGACCTACATTAATGTCATTAGAACTTTTTAACCCAGCAACGGATGATGTAGACAGCGACTCAAGTGGCGTATCTTCACCAGACTCAATCGACAGTGTTATAAGTGTTGTACCTGATGAACTCCGCAAAACTGCAGTAGAAAAAGGTATCGTAAAATATCAAATTTAATTTATTAATTCTTATAGGACCGTTTACTTTAAAAAAAACTATAGTACGTTACAAAAACAAAATATTAATACCTTCACTTTATTTCAGATTTACCAACCCTTGTCTTAGAAGGAAATAAAGAAGGACCCACCACGGAGAAGACGTCTTGTACATCTACAGCCCCACAAAGTCTGATAGAGGCTGCAGCAGAAGTAGCTCATTCCCTAGATGAAGCTTGTGAAACAGTCATTCAGTGTAGTCCAAGATCTAAAAGACGACATTTAGAAAAACTTGAAAGTGCGGACGCTATTGCCATCATTCAAGGTAACTCAAGTAGCAGCAGCAGTAGTTGGAGCCTGAACAAACTTTCGCCAGGTGATTTGAGATTATTGGAAGATAAGTCTAGATCTCAATCGCATACCAGCTCCAGTGGTAGTTCTTCTAGTCTAGAACGTCTCTCACCAGGAAGAAGGTCAAAAGATCGGTCACCGAAACAAGGTAGTACTAGCAACTCTACATGGAGTTTGAATAGGTTATCACCAAATAGACCCGAAGGACGTTCTCTAGATGAGAACTTAAGTAAAAGCCATCGAAGCCCTACAAGATTGCCTTATGACTCGGTATCGATATCAAGCACCGATTCGGAAAAGTCCATTTCAAAATCTGAAAGTTTTAATAGGATTCAAAATGAACCTTTAATAACTTGTAAATCAGATATGTTAGCAAAAGAAGATGATTGGGTAACGAATCAACAGGATAGAAATCAACATCTGACAGAATTTGCTGAAAAATTGAGTGAAAAATTATTACAAGAAATAGACCAATATTCTAAGCGTATAAACGAAGAAGATTTCGATTTGCCAAGCAGCAGTAGCAGTGAAAAAAGTATCTCTCTCAGACTAAAACGAGAAGAGGAAGACAGGAATACACAAAAAATATTAGATGAACTTTCCGACAGTTTACAGCACTTAGAAGATCCATACATAAATAAACTGAGTAATGAAATGCAAGGTTTAAACAAACTGAGCGCTGAAATTCAGGAGAGAACTAAATACATAGCATCTATGAACGATACACAAGAGACTGATATCAACAAACTGTTCCCTAAATGTGGTACTAAAACAAAAAGCAAAAAGAGATCAAAAGATGTGGACCCAATTATTAACAAATACAGAGAACTAAAAAAGTCAATGAAAGTTACTAGCGATGAAGATATATTGCTTAATAATTGTACTAATATACAATATAATATAAAATCATTAGTAGATGAAAAATTACCTGAAACTGAAATAAAAAATCCGGATGATGACAGTGCTATATCATCAAGTAATGGGAACCCTGAGATTACCATTGATTCCGGTGCTTATGACACCAGCCAATCACTTGAAACGGGATACTCATTAGAATCAGAAATAAGCGTAGACTCTCTATGTACCAGCACTGACAAAAGATCTTCGCTAAAGGTTGGACAGTCAACCGATTCCAGTGATTTGGATAAAATGGAAATAAGCCCAGAATCTATAACATCAAGGTCTAGTACAAGTACCGCACCTTTAAAATCAGGCTTCTCAATAGAATCAAGTGATACATCCGCCGGTAGTGATTGGAGTAGGCGAGACAAGACAGGAAGTACAGCGTCTCTCGGTTGTGCTAGTTTAGCTTCACTCCCGTCTTATAGCGAATGCTCGAAAGATAGAAAATCACTGGAAACCCGGTCATCGTCCGAAGATACAGCTACAGTGCCGGCTATTCCCTCCCGCGCTGTACCGCATGCACCTCTTCTTCCATCATTAAGTGACGGTTCAGATAGCCTACCCTCAGAAGGAGGTGCAGTCACATACCACAGATATTACCATGTGTTCAAGAGAGGAGAATTGGATCAACTTATAGAGAAATATGTGGAAAGTCTTCATGTCGTATCGTCATACTACGATCAGGCCAGTTGGTGTGTCGTAGCAGAAAAAGTACAAGTGTGGACCATTTAGGTGTCTCATCCATTTGTCAGGTGCATTGCTATATCAAAATTTATTTTGCAAGACAATGAAATTAATTAAATATTATGAACCTAAGTACTGTTATAAGTGCAGTGATTATATCCAAGTGACCTTCCTAACAAACTCTTCGAGTGTTAAGGACATTTTCATGAAAACGGATCTTATAAATGGTATTAAATCCAATGCGAATTTGCCAAAAGCTAAGCTTTTGTTTTCTAATATATTCTAGTCACTATACCAGTTTACTAGTTGTTATCTCTACTGTAATCTTAAATTTCATGCCCATAAACGCAGCTAAATGGGCGCTATTCAAACAGCCAAATCTAGTAATTAAAGTATAAAATGCAAATCTAATAATAGCAAAACTTTGAGAGTACATGGCACATGTTAATTATGGACTAGGTACGTGTTTATATTTAAAAGACAATAAACAACGGTATGGATGTATCGAAGATATTATTAATAAACATCGGATTAGTATAGCAGAATAAGAATTAAACATAAATTTATTTAAAATTGCAGAGAGTTACTCATATAAGATAATAAGTTAATGTAACCTTTGAATAGCGTCGAGGCTGCGTCATCTACTGAGGGCATTAGTATTGTACGCGAGGTAGAACTCGTGTATAATGAAAACTAAGAGCTTTAAATAGTGAAAATTAAATATATTATATTATACTTCAGTGGCTCAATATAATGTAAGCTATTCGTAGCTTATTAACTATGGTTAATATTCATATTACGCCTACTGAAACAAAATATATAACTATTGATACTTACATTATACTATGTACCATTTTCCGAAACCAAAAGTTACATTTTTCAATAACTGTAAATGGTACAAAACAAATGTTACATATCTAATACAATAAATTATATTTATCATAAATTATAATATGACAATAACGTTATTATATAAATATGTTATAAATATGTATATTAAAAATATTTCTTTTTGCAGCTTTACAATAATAAACAGTGGTTTTGGTTTTGGATTATGGTATCAAAACATTGAAAGTTTATTCAAGTGGCAGCTATACGTTACCAGTATTCCTGAGCTGGTCTCTCATACAATTAACTGTAAATTGTGTATGGGTCCATGGTATAATTATTTCGTAATACCAAATCGATGCATTACGTGTATATTTCATACTAAATTCGGACCATTTAGTGAACTTAGAAATTTTTAGTCGTCGTAGAGCTATACCTACTAATATTCCCCTTGCCTATATTATATGTAATACTTGAAAGTACAAATACATGCATAAATCAAAATATTCAATACTCAATGTATGACCTACCTACTTTAAGTATAATTTGAAAGCCTACGTCTTACGAGGTATATTTTTTTTTCCCTATTAAAGTTGCAAAAATTAAGGATTCATTTATTCATGAAATATTGTAGTTTATAATTCAGTTCACTAACTTTATGTGTTTACTTCTAAACTTCGTCAATAACGATTTTTTGTACTATGTGAATTAATAACGAATTTTTAAATTATTTTTTATTGGCGTATTAGTTAATTGTAAGTAACTTAGATAAGTCAATACGATATCACATACCTTATAATAGCATTACAATATAAATAGTAGGTACCATTTCGTCTCACATGAACAGAAGTATTGTAAAAAAATTTTGGTCAACGATAGATAGTAATGACGACCTTGCTTATGCGATTAATATAAATTAATGTTGGAAAAAGTATTCGGTATTGTATTGTAAATAATCGCTATAAGTCCTACATATATGAAGCTATTGAAAATTAATTATTGTATCAAGGAATCAGTGAGATTAAAATTAATATATTAGTATTAGTGAATCATGAACACATGACTGTAGGCTTTAATATTGTCCGTTATACGTAGGTAACAGAATCTCAAAACAAAGTATATATGTATAGTAACGGAAAATATTGAGTGTACATAATTACGCTTAGTTTCGCATTGTCATTAGAATTGTATGCAATTAGTAAATACTAATGGAAATGTAGTGAATAGGACAAACTAATATATAAAATGCACAACCGTTACTATATTCATTTAAATCTGTATGTAAGTCTTCATAACGGACAGATGAGGCAGTGGCGCTAACAGTTCAATGAATCAATAATCGATTAAAAAGAAAATTCTAAAATACAATAAGACTAATAAACTAATCCCAATCTATCTAAACTCTCAATTTCGTTTACAATATATTAATTTTTTGTAATTATTCTTTTTAAAGTAATCATGACTAAGCCGAAAACTAATGTAACAATGTCACTTAGTTACTTTATTGAACATTAAATATGAAACTAATACCTATGTAATGTGTAAATTATTATATATTTAATCTATATATTATGTAATTCAAGAGTATATATAGGTGCGAAACGGCGCCAGCCTTTGTCATTGGAGTACTAATTTAGGTTCTATAATTGGGATACCCGCAGGCTTAGAAAATAAGAATGTTTTGGGTCTCCATTTGGGACAGACAGTACACGATTATAATAAAAATTTCTACGCAGTCACACTTCGAATAATATGTAATATACGGTTATAACCAAGGATGGCTAATTTCTTAATAATGTTTTTACTACTTACCTATATCTTTTTATATGACATAACAACCTCATTAAAATATCCTAGAGATTAATATATGTATAGTAATTGTGGCCGACTAAATATATCAGTATTTTCTAATTAAATTCAAATACCCTCCATTTTTACATCTTTTTCATACAATAGTATAAACAAAATTTATCATAGAATTAATTATAAATAATGTACACAATGACCATAGATGAAATTGGTACAATATCATAAAAAATACAAATCAATTAAATTATATCAATTCTAAACTTAATGCTTGCCTATCGTATAGTAATCTAGTACGTATATCCAATTGATTGAACTGTAAGCGTCTAAATACTATGTTTATCTGAAAATCAAAACATTCCACGTATAGAATGTTCAATTACAACGGTAAGGTTTTTGCTAATAATTAAAATTAATTTTGAATATTATATTACTTGCCTATTGGGCGTTAAATTTATTTTAAATGGAAGTTGTGAAGTTTATAAAGCATATCATTGCAATTTGTGTATAGATATAATTTCTCCTATTATTGTATATTAAAGTTCATATAATTTTGGTAATATTATATTTCAATACAGGGTGTCATAGTCACAGAGGTGGGAAGAAATGTGCACGTAGAGAAATAGATATTACTATGTACTTTATTCTCCATGTGACCAAACTGACACCACATTATAATATAATAAATTGTTTATTAATATAGTTTATGTACAATTACTGTCTTATTCATAAAAACGTAACACCTATAAACTTGCTTTATTAGTTAGGTATAGTTAAGTTGCGTTCATTTATTTGTAAAATGATGTAGAAACATAATTATCTATATAACATAAATTTATTATGTGTTAATACGTTTTTATGAATAAAACGGTTAGACAATATTATTCACGATTATCAAGAAATGAAATTTATTTATATAATTTAGTAAAAGAACTTACGTGTAAATATGAAATTTTTATATCGCTGAAATAATTCACATTGGCTTAATCTGTGATATATAATAGAAATGACACAGGCCCGTCTTAATTTCTGATCTACCATTTACATATCTAGAACATTGCTTAAATTTTTATTGATAATAAGGTATATTATAGAATATTATTGGTTATGATACTAAATTAATCAATTATCTTTTAACTTATATTTAACGATCGAATATTTACGGGGCCATTCATAAGTTACGTCACACGTTAAGGGGGGAGGAGATCTATTTTCACAAATATGAGTAACTGTGACCACGGGGGATCAGAAATCATGAAATTTGTGTGACGTAATTTACGGATGTCCCCTACTTTGACTTTGTGGGACTGTGTGATATTATTTTTTAGAACTGCCTGATATTCCGTAGTGAATTGTTTGCTACATTTTTCATTATTGGCAAAATTAGGAAGATTTATATATTAACTTGTAATTACCGTACAATAAATAAATATATATATGACTAAGGATACAAAACAACGCATGTTTAGGTAAGAATTTGAAGTTGGTGAAATATATGGAGCAAATGATTTCATTTGTTACTTTTTATTCTGTAATTAATAATTATGAAGTTCACTGTATTTGTAAACAAATTAATGTTAAAATATTATACATAAATACAGAACTCTATGTGTGTGGCTAGGGCGATGAAACAAGCAGTTCTATATAGTTAATAATAAAACATAAAAAATTTAAGTACTTATATCTTTATATCACACAACCATACTTAAAAATATCATATAACAATAAGTATGTAAATAAACAGTAATATTTCATATTATATGAAACAAAAAATATTATATAAGTACTTAATTGAATATCTGTACTGTAATTCCAGATAGGTGTGATGTTTCATATTTTGTATTGAAATACAACGAAAATATATGAGTTGTTTACTGCTAGTTTCTTGGTCCTGTCCAGATAATCCTAAATTCCAGATTTTTACTATGAATCATCGAGTCACGTTCACTTAAGAATACAAACGGTGTAATGTTAAATGTAACGAAATACAGTAATACATTGTAAGCTTACGTACTGTAACTGTACCTATACATTATACTAGGTGACAACCTTCACAATAAAATGAAGACTTTAAGAATCACATTGTTTTATTTCAGAATATATAAATATACCGCCACGACACATCCCAGAGCATGTGGTCAGGAGTATTGTGAACTATCGAGTTTGTGGTGAACGCAATACCGTCTGTCCGATTAATTTTGGTTTAATTTCCCTCTTTCACCGAAGCATCAGTTAAAAATATAAATTAGCCGTTTATTGGTTACCGTAGTCTGTCGGCACCTGAAACATCAGGTTTGTCACGTGTGTGTTGCTGACCGTTAAGAAGCCATAATACACCTTCCTGGAAAACCCCCATTCCATATAGGAATGTCTCTAGAAACCTCGATAGGTAGTTTTGTCCCACAATCTAAGTATACGCGGAAGGAAGGTATCAGAGACTTCTTACAATTCAGTTTGTGGGGTTCAATTTCTTGTCGTTGGTGAGCGGTGCGATGGTAACAGATGAGAGACTACAGCATGGGGTTTTTCAAGAAGGGTATATTAAGGTTTCTTAAGGGTCGGCAACGCTCATGTAACTCCCCAACATTTGCTACCTACGTTCTTAAATTTTTCTAGTTTCCTTACGATATTTCAAACATATACCTTCAAACACAAATACATACGTGCAAGAGTTATTATAGTTTTATTATAAGAAATCAAAAAATAAAAGAATTACTTATTTATTAATAATTTATTGCACTAGCAATGATAATAAATATAAAAGTTTATAATTTTGTTAGGTACACGCAGGTAAGTTTTTTTATAAGAACAGAACTTGTGCTTATTACATTTTAGAAAATCCCATTACCTACATGTTTATACATTTCAATAAATAAAACGATGATACGTTAATTTTATTCACTAAATTAATATCTTTTATATTAATTTAGTGAATATTTTTTTTATAAAAAATATCATTTTCAATCTATTCTAACTGAAGTAAAAAGAAAGTATACGAGTAATTCACTTATATAATTCTTGTGGCAGTATAAAAAAAAATTTAAATACATAAATATGTACTCAAAATGAGGAGGCGTTTTTAATAAATATTAAATTAATAAATATTTTGATACAATCACTGCATTTTTAGAAGCAATTAAAATATATTAAGTAAATATGGTTCAAACACACGTACAGACTACAATATATATATATATCATACGTGTATGATCTATACCACGGGTCAGCTATTAAAATAAATGGAATACTAAATACTTACCATCCATAACTTACGTCGTACCATCCATAACACGTTCACCATACGAAGAGTTGGTGACATTTGTAAGACTTTCCCTCGTTTTTGTGACGTCCCGTAGTTACAACGAAATTATTAGATTAAAAAACAAAGAATAATTTTGAATTAAGTCTATAGTTCATTAGTAGTGTTATTTCTCTTTAACAAAACACAGTACTTTCAAATGTGACGTTCAAAATTCATTGTGACCCCTTGTCACATAACGTCACACTTAGTCAACTTCGCCTCAGAATGTGTGACGTGCTTTACGGACGACCCTATGACTTGCTATGATAAATAAATACATAATGTATGTTTAGTGGTGGAGGTATCGTACTCTATTCACTGTAGTATGAGTCTTATACGAAGTAGGCGGCGAGTTGCGCCATTTTATCTTTTGGCTGTTTGTTGCGGTGTTTATTAAGACGCGCCCTGCCGCCGCGGCCGCCGCGCCCTGCTGGAGCCCGAGCAGCCACCGCGCGATGCTTCTCCACCTGCAGCCAAAACTCAACTTTATTACAAGTGCAAAGAAGTCATTTACAAGCGCACTTTTTTAAGTATTAAATTGGACTATGATTCTCACGAGTGCGCTGAAGCTGGGCTCGCAGTAGAGGCAGGCGGTCATGTCGGTGAGCGCGGCGGGCAGGCGCGTGCGCTCGGCGCGGTACTCCACGCTGACGAGCTGCGCGATGTTGTGGAGGTGTGGAGGTGTGGAGGTGGCGGTACTCACGAGTGCGCTGAAGCTGGGCTCGCAGTAGAGGCAGGCGGTCATGTCGGTGAGCGCGGCGGGCAGGCGCGTGCGCTCGGCGCGGTACTCCACGCTGACGAGCTGCGCGATGTTGTGGAGGTGTGGAGGTGTGGAGGTGGCGGTACTCACGAGTGCGCTGAAGCTGGGCTCGCAGTAGAGGCAGGCGGTCATGTCGGTGAGCGCGGCGGGCAGGCGCGTGCGCTCGGCGCGATACTCCACGCTGACGAGCTGCGCGATGTTGTGGAGGTGTGGAGGTGTGGAGGTGGCGGTACTCACGAGTGCGCTGAAGCTGGGCTCGCAGTAGAGGCAGGCGGTCATGTCGGTGAGCGCGGCGGGCAGGCGCGTGCGCTCGGCGCGGTACTCCACGCTGACGAGCTGCGCGATGTTGTGGAGGTGTGGAGGTGTGGAGGTGGCGGTACTCACGAGTGCGCTGAAGCTGGGCTCGCAGTAGAGGCAGGCGGTCATGTCGGTGAGCGCGGCGGGCAGGCGCGTGCGCTCGGCGCGGTACTCCACGCTGACGAGCTGCGCGATGTTGTGGAGGTGTGGAGGTGTGGAGGTGGCGGTACTCACGAGTGCGCTGAAGCTGGGCTCGCAGTAGAGGCAGGCGGTCATGTCGGTGAGCGCGGCGGGCAGGCGCGTGCGCTCGGCGCGGTACTCCACGCTGACGAGCTGCGCGATGTTGTGGAGGTGTGGAGGTGTGGAGGTGGCGGTACTCACGAGTGCGCTGAAGCTGGGCTCGCAGTAGAGGCAGGCGGTCATGTCGGTGAGCGCGGCGGGCAGGCGCGTGCGCTCGGCGCGGTACTCCACGCTGACGAGCTGCGCGATGTTGTGGAGGTGTGGAGGTGTGGAGGTGGCGGTACTCACGAGTGCGCTGAAGCTGGGCTCGCAGTAGAGGCAGGCGGTCATGTCGGTGAGCGCGGCGGGCAGGCGCGTGCGCTCGGCGCGGTACTCCACGCTGACGAGCTGCGCGATGTTGTGGAGGTGTGGAGGTGTGGAGGTGGCGGTACTCACGAGTGCGCTGAAGCTGGGCTCGCAGTAGAGGCAGGCGGTCATGTCGGTGAGCGCGGCGGGCAGGCGCGTGCGCTCGGCGCGGTACTCCACGCTGACGAGCTGCGCGATGTTGTGGAGGTGTGGAGGTGTGGAGGTGGCGGTACTCACGAGTGCGCTGAAGCTGGGCTCGCAGTAGAGGCAGGCGGTCATGTCGGTGAGCGCGGCGGGCAGGCGCGTGCGCTCGGCGCGATACTCCACGCTGACGAGCTGCGCGATGTTGTGGAGGTGTGGAGGTGTGGAGGTGTGGAGGTGGCGGCTAGGGTCGGTGAGCGCGGCGGGCAGGCGCGTGCGCGCGTACTCCACGCTGACGTGCGCGAAGCTGGGCTCGCAGTAGAGGCAGGCGGTCATGTCGGTGAGCGCGGCGGGCAGGCGCGTGCGCTCGGCGCGATACTCCACGCTGACGAGCTGCGCGATGTTGTGGAGGTGTGGAGGTGTGGAGGTGTGGAGGTGGCGGTACTCACGAGTGCGCTGAAGCTGGGCTCGCAGTAGAGGCAGGCGGTCATGTCGGTGAGCGCGGCGGGCAGGCGCGTGCGCTCGGCGCGGTACTCCACGCTGACGAGCTGCGCGATGTTGTGGAGGTGTGGAGGTGTGGAGGTGGCGGTACTCACGAGTGCGCTGAAGCTGGGCTCGCAGTAGAGGCAGGCGGTCATGTCGGTGAGCGCGGCGGGCAGGCGCGTGCGCTCGGCGCGGTACTCCACGCTGACGAGCTGCGCGCCGCACGCGCCGCACGCCTGCTCAGTAGAGGCGCACACGCTCTCGCAGTAGAGGCAGGCGGTCATGTCGGTGAGCGCGGCGGGCAGGCGCGTGCGCTCGGCGCGGCACTCCACGCTGACGAGCTGCGCCACGCGCGACGCCTCCTCGAAGATGTTGATGATCACGTCGCACCTGCGCGCACAGAACATCATTATTGCCCACCCCGACCGATGAGTTCCAATGGGTCTGCATTCACCGCGTCGATACGAAAGTAACGCAGTGTTAAAATGCCATAGTTATTAATCGAGATAGACTTCGTACATCATCGGCGTGCGTACCTTTGTCTCGCCTATTAACGGCCTCGGTAGTCTAGGCGATGCATGAGAGGTAAGATAGTCATCACATGATAATATGTTATCTGTGCTTCTGCCCACATATATATAGACGACAATCAGAATTTACCATCAAGTTGCCCATTATATTGTTTGTCATTTCAATTACAACAAAAACTAAAGCTAAAAAATATCTAGAGAAGATAACATATATGTAATATTTAACATATAATGTTTTTTCTTACCGGTTACAGGCAAGCTTCCACTTGGGCGCGGCCGGATCAAGCACGAGAACGCCGGTCTCACACTCCACACAACCGGACACGCCCGTAGAGTTAACGCCATACGGACACGTCGGGTGCGTGCACGAGTTGCAGCCGAAGCCTTTCTTCATGTCCCTAATTACAAGGCACGTTTTAAAAATAGCCTTCGTAGACTTTCCGTCTATGAAATAATCAGTTCCCTATTGACGAAACAGATTTTCACTGAGACGAATTGACTATAACGTTAGGCCACAGAACCTGATAAGCTTTATGTTCTTTTGTACTACAGGAAGCAAATACAAATAGAAATTTTAACAATTATTTAAATACAATCAATTAAATTACTGACTTAAGTTTTAGTGATTATAGATCTGTAAAGAATACCCATGCTAATATACATGGTGTGGGCAAGAGTAGGGAGTACTGTATTGATAAAACATAAAACCAGAAAATATATCAATCCACATTTATCTCAAAACTCTATTTGTGTATTTCAAATATCTTACTGTCACAGCTAGTTTTTGGTACAAACCTGAACGGCGGGTGATTATAACAGTATGGGCAGAGTGGAAAACTCTTGCCCTTGTTGCCAGAAGACCAGGAGAGCAGCTCGAAGTCATCGAGCGGACACTTGAGTTCTCGGTAGATACGAACGGTACCGTTCTGCGGTAGCCCGTAAGTGTCATCGCAGTGGGAACAATGCAGTCTAGCTGGTTTCGCCTTTATAAATACAAATATTTATTACAATATTTATTGACAATACTAGCTGTTACCCACGACGTCGTTGTATATTTACTTTAACTTCACTTTCGCATTAGTTACGGCAATATTTTTGTCATTTATCTATGACAAAAAATTAAATCATTAGATTGGTTATACGGACTAACTTGATCGCGCTATTACTTCAATATATTGTAATTATTTTTCAATTATTAAAAAATGAAAAATTAAAGACTATTTCTACCATTTTTAACTATTTTCAGAAGCTTTTATTTTAACAGTGGAACAATAATGACGATACATCCTATAACTGTTTGGATGTTATACAATGATATTAAACAGTTAATATGTACAAAGATAAATATTAACTAGACTAACACTCAGGCATAAAATATTTTTTAATCTTCGCTCGCCATATTACATATCTAATAAATCTAATAAATAAATAATAAAAACTAAAAACTATAATATCTTACCTGAATGTATCGCATATACCGCCTACATTTCCCACATCGGGACAGCGCCTTTCCACTAGCTTTTAAAGACGAGAAGCTAACTTCGAACAACTGGTCCATTGCTTCTATGGATCGTACAAAATACTGGAACTTTCTGCGGAATATCTCTGTGGTGTGCGCTAACACAGCGTGGAAGTCTGCGCGACCGACGGCTATGAGATTCAATTGTTCTTCAACGGCTGAGCGCATTGTTGGCAGCACAAGTTCTGGATCAATCTAGAAAATTAAAACATACTAGGTCTAGAATACTATAAGTATAATTTAGATATGATAACGTTCAACATTTAACAGGTGCACAATAAATAAAAAATGTATATTTATCTGTCAAAGAATATTCATATTATACAGTATTTACTCTCGTATAAAGTAAACAATAATGATGCAAAATTTAAGTGCAATTAATATATTACAATATGAATATATTATTGTTGTTTAATTCTCTTATTAGATTGGAGAATTAAACTTAAAGAAACAGCAAAGTATATCAGAATTTGCTTAGGTATGGCAAAACCAAACAAAAAGAACTATGAAAAATGAAAAACGAATACTCAGCTGAAGACTATTTAGTCTTAAGCTGAGTGCATTATTATTGTTTACTTTATACGAGATAGTGGTCATTAAAACATGTTGCGGCACAAAACACACGATTGAAATGCCTGTACAAAACAACTCACCTTCTGATAGCCGTGTACGAGGACTATACCGAGATTGGTAGGGACGAGCCGGCGTCCGCTACCAACCGTCACATAGTTCCGCTGACATATATTGTTGATGTGCACAGGGATTGATGCATCTGTCCCGATACCATGCTTCTCCATCAATGTTATCACCTGAAGTTACAATAACAACTTAAAATCTATTTATGTCTATTTATGTATTTATCCTATATATAGTATAACTTAGCGTGTTGTGTCGCTGTAAGAATAGCACCACCCCCTCTCTTCCCGTGGGTGTCGTAAAAGGCGACTAAGGGATTCATCGACCAGTGGACGGGCAGCAGCGTTCTACTGAGTAACTACCATCATACTGCGATCGCCAACCCGCATGCCAAGCGTGGCGATTATGGCAATAACCCCCAAATGGATTTACACCCAAGGCCCGGCCCGGGTTCCGAAAAGGCTTCAGTACCATAGACCACATTCATACGATGCGGCAGGTAATTCAGAAGACCGAAGAATACAACCTGCCACTTTGCTTGGCGTTTGTAGACTATGAAAAAGCCTTTGATTCGATCGAGACGTGGGCTGTGCTACTGTCTCTCCAGCGGTGCCAAATTGACTATCGATATTTCGAAGCGTTGAAATGTTTGTATGAAAACGCCACTATGTCAGTTCGCCTCCACGACCAGAATTCGAAGCCTATCCAACTGCAGCGAGGTGTCAGACAAGGCGATGTCATATCGCCAAAGCTGTTTACCGCTGCGTTGGAAGATATCTTCAAGCTTCTGGACTGGAGCGGGCTGGGCATCAACATTAACGGCGAGTACATCAATCACCTTCGATTTGCCGACGATATCGTGGTCATGGCTGAGACCCTGGAAGACCTTAGCAAAATGCTTGAAGACCTCAGTAGAGTCTCACAAGGAGTTGGTCTTAAAATGAACATGGACAAGACGAAAATTATGTCAAACGTCCATGTCGTACCTGCTCCCGTAAAAATCGGTGATTCTACACTCGAAATTGTCGATCACTACGTATACTTAGGGCAAACTATCCAGCTAGGTAGATCCAATTTCGAGAAAGAGGTCAATCGTCGAATCCAACTCGGATGGGCAGCGTTCGGGAAGCTCCGATATATCTTTTCGTCCAAATTTCCGCAGTGTCTCAAGACGAAGGTTTACGACTAATGTGTGTTGCCAGTGATCACTTACGGAACAGAGACGTGGTCGCTAACTATGGGCCCCATCAACAAGCTCAGAGTCACTCAGAGGGCAATGGAGAGGGCTATGCTCGGAGTTACTCTGCGTGATCGAATCAGAAATGAGGAGATCCGCAGAAGAACCAGAATGACCGACATAGCCCGAAGAATTGCGACTATGAAGTGGCAATGGGCAGGGCACATAGCTCGTAGGACAGATGGCCGTTGGGGCAGTAAAGTCCTCGAGTGGCGACCACGGACCGGAAGACGCAGCGTGGGAAGGCCTCCAGCAAGGTGGACCGACGATCTGGTCAAGATCGCTGGAAGGCATTGGATGCGAGCAGCGCAGGACCGATCGTCGTGGAGAGCTTTGGGGGAGGCCTATGTCCAGCAGTGAACGTCTTCCGGGTTAGCGATGATGATGATAATGAGTATAACTGACGAGACTATATACTAGCGAGACTTGTTAAAGAAAGAGGGAGATGGAAAACACAGGAGGAGGTCTTTGTGTCCAGTGACACACTGAAAAGGGAACTTGTGTGACAATTGAAATACGTAAAATATGCAAGAAAATGTGTAAATGTTACTTTGTTTATAATAAATGAAAGCTTGAAATTGAAAAGTATTTTTTTCTTTATTTATTACCATATACCAAAATCAAGAGTATATGATGGTATTTCTAGCCTTTTTCTTGCTCTCAGACTAACCTCTGACTCGGTGAGATAGTCTGGCGGCGAGGTCTGGCACTCCACCAGTCTGTGATCGTGGGCTCGCAGCACCTCCTCCTCTTGCAGTGGTGGTACGAACTCATCTTTACCGAACGCCTGTAGCATTAATGTTTTATTTATATTCAAAGTCAAATTCAAAATAGTTTTTTAGGTAACAAAATTTTTAGTAAGTTCTATGTAGTTGTTGAAGCCTCCTTTTAAGCATAAAAATGCCTGTGCAAGGAGGATCCACTCTTCCATAGCTTCTATAGTATTTTTAACTAATTCTTAAATATATTACTATTTCTGTTGAGTATTAAAAAATAGGATGAAGAAAAATTTAATTTCAAATTTTTCAATCATAATAGGATTCATTATCTAGCATATCACAGGTGCAATTATTACAAAGATCACATTCTTTTAAAATATATCCCATGTACTGCTGCAGCTGGTAATGTAGCTTTTCTACAGGTGAAAGACTGTTCAAAATCCGTTAAATATTTATTGAGTTCATCCATCACAAATAAAAAAATTAAATGTTTTCCCTTTACAACATATTTTTTATGAAATAAACAATTTCCATCTCGATTTCAAATATGGCCATAAAGAAACAATATTTTTCTTACTTTGTGTTGAATTATTGTTTAATTTGAAAATATGAGAATTAAACCAACCTGCCAGTGCATAATCTCCGTGTATCCGGCATCTACGAGCGTGTTCCCAGTATAGTAGAATGTCTCGGTGCCTATTTGGAAGGTGATTGTGGTACTGAGGTACTTGCAGTCACGCGACAATGTCGCTATGAAGTGTCGAGTTATGTAGTCGTAAATACGCCACATGTCGCCTTCTAGTTCACTTTCGGCTATAAAATAAATCACAATATAATGTATTAGAAATCATCGAATTCTGAGCAGAATGAGCAAGAAACTTGCGTGTCGCTTAATAAATAATAAGTAAATTACAAAAGTTTAAATCAGCAGGTTTATTTTGAAATATATTCTGATTATTAATATCAACCCAATGCTGTCTTGCACTGTTATTTTAAAACGGAATAAAGAATTAATCCAATAGATGAATAAATACCCATTAGTTTTAATGGCCAACCATATAATATATAAGTAATACATTGCGAGTGCTTAATTTAAGATCTTATAAGGTACGAAACAGAGCTTTCTAATATCATAGGATCGGATTTAAAATAAATAAATAACTCTGGACAATTAACACAGTGCCATCTAGACCTACGGTAAGCAGAGCTTGTATTACTATTAGACAACTGATATAAATATTAGATAATTTTTATTTGTAACATATTTAATATATATAGAAAACGCCCATACTGATACAAACAATCATACTCATGAATACAAGAACCAGCCGAAAAAATAGTTTCTAGAATATACAGTCAATATGTTATTATTACAAAATATGAACTTGAAATTGTCCAAAATTATTTAATATGTAAGATAAATATGAAATATTACTAACTAGCTGCCCTCATTGGTGTAATAGGAGGATGGTCGCCAGCGTCATGTCCCTTCTTAGGCTTGTTAATACCATTAGCGATGAGCGCGCGGACCTCGGCGCCCCACTTCGAAGAGTTCTGCTGTTGACGAAGCGTGCCCCTAAACGAATTTTTTTTTATGTAACTGGGATATAGCTAGACCCAAGCTAGCAAATAAATAGACCGTCTAGCTGATGGCAAGTGATAACCGTTGCTTATGAAATAGTGTGCAGTCCGTGATACATCCTGTGAAAATATAATTTCACTTCTTGCCTGCCTTATCTCGAACTTAACAGAACTCACGATGAGCTTGTCATTGGCATCTAAAATAGGCTTTTTACAGAGCCTATGTTTTACTCGAGGCCAAGAAATCAAACAACACCGAATTGGATAGTAAACAAAGATATATTCGGGTGTAAATCGAACTCAATAATTACAAAATTCCGTACAGTGGTCATAATCAAAGAAAACGAAACTATAGCGCGTTGTACATTTCACCTAGCGCCATCTAGTATAAATATTGAGAACTTTAATTGATATTGGTCGAACATTCCGCCCACCAAGAACTAGTGTTCTTAATGACCGCCCACCATGACATTTATACACAACTAATAAAGTAGGCACCCAATTATTTTTTAAAATGAATATACATATCTAGAGAAATAGAACTAAACATCGTAATGAATACAACAAATATCTTCGCTAGATACTTCGTACATCAGCAAGAATCAAACACTAAATTATACTCTATTAACAATGTGACTAAAACAAATGAAACAAACAAAAACAAACAACGCATTAACAAATCCTTACTAAATGCCAAACAATTAAAAGAAAACAAACAAAGCACAATTACACAAATTAAACAATTACAAAAAAATCAATTTTAAAATACACATTTAGACATGCAGACTTATAGCTATATAACAACTTATTGAACAACTGGCAAAATACAAAGTTTCGATACAGGTCTTTTAATACAATTTTCTTTACAACGCAAGGTGACAACTCTAGTTATATTGTCTGGACCAGGGTGCTTTTCCTCAATTCGACCGAACAACCATCTACTTGGAGGAAGATCATCCTCTTTAATTAAAACAACTTGGCCTATTTGAGGTTCAGGAGTAACTTTTGTCCATTTATACCTGTTGCAAAGTGTTGTGAGATATTCTCTTGACCACTTACGCCAAAAATTTTGAGTAAGTTTCTGCATGAGTTGCCATCTACGCAACATACTGCTATTATGGTTCATGTAATTATTTTCTGGAACTGTAATAAGCGGTTCCCCAATCAAGAAATGGCCTGGTGTGAGAGGCAAACTATCCTCCTGACTAGTGGGTAACCTATACATAGGTCTAGAATTCAAGCAGGCTTCCACTTGGGCCAACAATGTGGAAAGCTCCTCATAGGTTAAGGTGGTACCATCAAGCACACGTTTCAAGTGATACTTTGTTGATTTAACCCCTGCCTCCCAGATACCCCCGAAATTCGGAGCGCGGGGAGGTATAAAATGCCATTCGGTTCCTGTATTTGCTAAACATTGAGCAACTTCATCTAAAATACTCGACTTTTCAGCCTTAAATAAAACACGTAGCTCTTTTGATGCGCCCACAAAGTTCGTGCCGTTGTCGCTCCAAATCTCCTGACAGTGGCCTCGACGAGCCACGAATCTCTTGAAAGCTGCAATGAATCCTTCACTCGTCATATCACTTACCACTTCCAAGTGGATTGCGCGTGTCACCATACACACGAAAAGGCATACATAGCCCTTGAAGCATCGACATCCGCGACCCTTGGATATTCTAACGTTGATAGGACCGCAGTAGTCAACTCCACTTCGGCTAAATGGACGGCTCGCTGTAACACGTGAGCTTGGTAAATCACCCATGAAGGGTTGTTGGCACGAGGTACTATATCGAATACATGTAATACACTTCTTAATATATTGTCTAATTATACTCCTCACGTTGATAATCCAGTACCTGGTACTGATATAATTATGCATTAATTGTGGTCCGCCATGCAGCGTTTTCTCGTGAGCATCTGCTACAATTAACTTAGAGATATGATGATCACGCGGCAAGATTATAGGGTGTTTCGCATCATAATCTTCTTGACTATGCTCTATACGTCCACGTACTCTCATTATATGTTTATCATCTAGGAATGGACACAAAGACAATATTTTACTACCTTTTGGGATGGATCGACACTTCATCAACTGTTCAATTTCTGGGAATGGGAAAGGATGAGCTTTGGCAGTGTTTCAGGCAAATGTTCAGACTATAATTTAATTCAGCAGCTGTAAGATATGAAGGTAACAATTTTCTATGTTTCAGTTTATTAACGATCCTCAAACAAAAAGCAATTACTCTTATCAACTTATTGAGTGATGAATATTTAGTCCAGACAGGCAGTTCTTCATTACTTCGATCTGAGACAGCAAGGTAAGATTTAATGGCTTTTTTCTCCAAATCAGTAGACAAATTCTCAATTAGAGGAAACTCGTAATAGGATTCATGTAACATCTGCGGTCCATGCCACCATAATCCATGCTCGATCAATTCCCCTGGCCTCAATCCTCGAGACGCGCAGTCAGCAGGATTTTGATTAGACTCAATATGTGACCATTGACTGCTGTCTAAAACCTCTAATATTTCAGTTACTCGGTTGGCGACAAACGTCTTCCAACGGTTTGGTTCGCCTTTCAACCAGGCTAAAACTATGGTTGAATCAGTCCAAGCACGTAATTGAACCTTGGATACCTTCATGACTGATGACACCTCCGATAACAATTTTGCCAAAAGTACCGCGCCACAAAGCTCTAAACGAGGTATGGAGATCTGCTTAATGGGAGCAACCTTAGTCCTCGCTCCTATCAAGTTAACATGAACTTCTCCAAACTTGTCTTTAATACGAGAATAAACGACTGCACTATATGCATCGTTGGAGGCATCACAATATCCGTGGATTTCTATGTCAGTGGTATCGTATGTTGCGTGCATCCACCGAGGTAATTTGACTTGATTAAGTTTTGGCAATTCTTCTCGAAATGAAATCCATTTATCTAGCAGATCAGATGGCACTTCCTCATCCCAGCCAAGTCCTGCAAGCCAAAGCTTTTGAATGTATATCTTCGCTTGAATAATAACCGGTGCAATCCAACCCAGTGGATCAAAAAGGCGAGATATATCGGATAAAATGACTCTCTTTGTAATTGGCTGCTTTTGTGGATGTAATTTAATTACGTACTCAAATTCATCAGATGAGACATTCCATGACACTCCTAAAATTTTGACCAAATCATCTGTCTTAATCACCAAGTTTCTGTCTGCTTTGTTGTCTTCTTGAATTTCTTGCATAAGTTTCTGACTATTACTTGCCCATTTCTGCAATTTAAATCCACCTCTTTCTAATAATTCGACCATTTGATTGTATATATCAACTGCTTCCTCTTCCGTCTGACAACCTGACATAAGATCATCCATATAAAAATCTTGCAGTACTCTATCAGCTGCCAAAGGGAAGTGCTTGCCTTCATCCTTGGCGACTTGTTGAAGTGACTTTACTGCAAGATAAGGCGCAGAAGAAACTCCAAAAGTTACTCTCAGGATACGGTATTCCCTGAAGGGCTCGTTTGAATTGTGTCTCCACAGAATTCGCTGAAATCTGGTGTCTTTGTCATGTACCTTAACCTGCCGGTACATCTTGATGATATCTGCCACAAAGCAAATTGGATAAGTACGCCACTTCATCAATAGATGTCTCAACTCTCCCTGCAATCGTGGACCGGTAAGTAGGTCATCATTCAATGATTTACCATTATTCCCTTTACACGAAGCATCAAACACCAGACGAACCGCTGTGGTTGATTTATCTAACCGAACAACAACTAACAACGGTAAGTAAACGGCATCTGCTCTAACCTTTTCTCTTTCTTCAGTTATAAGTTCCATGTGATTCATATCTATATATTCTTCTATTACTTTTGAACATTCCTTTCTTAGAATTGGATCCTTTTCTAACTTTCTTTCCATAGTCAGTAATCTCTTTTTAGCTATTTCTTTAAAATCTCCTTGTTCGCAATCAGGATTATTCTTGCGAAACGGTAGTCGCACAACATAACGACCTGATTCATCCCTGGTTGTAGTCTTTTCATAATACTCTTCACAAGCTTTATCTTCTTCTGACATGAAATTCTGCTCTTTACCAGACTCCAACTCCCAGAACTTACGCAATATCTCATCAGAATTATCCAGCGAATGCATGCTAACTATGCTGGAATGGTGACAATGATGGTTTACTTCTACTCTACCGGATAATATCCACCCCAGCTGTGTATCTTGAGCAGTGACACTGCTCTTTCTAATAATATTATTCGTTAGGATCATTCCATAAACATCCGCCCCTAGCAACAAGTCTATCTTACTAGGTGTACCATAATCGGGATCAGCCAGAGTTAAACCTGATAATTCTGGCCAATCTTGAATATTAAGTTTTTGAGCTGGTAAACTGGATGACAAAGCGTTCAAAACATAGGCCTGAATTTCATAACTAAACGAGGTATAAATGGACTGTATCTTAAAAATGACCATATGTTTGATGGATAAGTTAAACTGATCTCCACCCAAGCCAGATACTATTCCCTTGAAAGGAATTTTACGAAGCCCTAATAATTGAACAACACGCTCCGTAACGAATGAGGCTTGAGAACCCTGATCCAGTAATGCTCGCAGTGTATAACAATCTCTATTAGTGTCCACGTGTACTAAAGCCGTAGCCAACATTACTTGACCAGGTGATGATATTGAGCCATTAGCAAAATGTGTTGAAATTCGACTTGATTCTTGAACCTCCTCTCTCTGCACATTTTCTTGCTCTCTGTGCTCGGATTCATTCGTTTGATTTAGTTCCATATTAGACGATGAACTCGAACTTCCCTCAGGGTGCAGTAAAGAGTGATGTCGCCGTCCGCAACGCCTACAAGTGGTACGTCTCTTACATCGGCTCACTGGATGATTACTTCCAAAACAGTTGAAGCATAATTTATTTTTCTGAATAAATTCATGACGACTTTCATAACTCTCATTACAAAACTTTTCACATTGGAATAATAGATGACTTTCTTTACAAAAGGAACAGGAGATTGCGGTAACACTAAAAACTTTTGGTCTCTCTACTTTATCATCATTTCTCTCGTTATTATGAAGACATTCCATAGCCAAAAACCTGCATTCTAGGAATTTATTGAATTCCTCTAACGTTGGTAATATGTCTGAGTGGTCACTGATCCTGTGCTCCCACTGAACTCTAGTACTATTATCTAGTTTTAATGACACAAGATGTATAATGATAATGTCCCAAGAAGATGTATTGACTCCTATATTAGATAATGCACTCAGGCAATCATTTGTTGTGTCCAGTAACTGCTTGATTCCGTTTGCAGACTCTGTCATCAACTTCCTTTGACCGACCAGTCTCGTGAGAATTGAATTAGCAATATAGCGCCTATTATTATATCTCTTTTTTAGCTTATTCCAACACTGTGTATAATTAGCGTCTGTGATTGGGATATGACGTAATATCTGTTCAGCTTCTCCACTGAGGTGTGCCTTTAAGTAGTGCAACTTCTGAACTTCTGCTAAAGATGTATTACTGTCGATCATAGAAACAAATAAATCATGGAAAGACTGCCATTCCAAATATTTTCCTGAGAAAATTGGTAAAGAAATTCGTGGTAAATGAGCAATACTACTTCCAGAAGGCGAGTTTGAAGATTGATCTTTACTGTTCTCCTCTTTTTCCTTTGGTTCATCTTTTTTTAATAATGCCATAGAATCTTGGAGTGCACATTTAAATTCAACATATAATTCTTCAACTTCATCAAATAGACTTAGTTTAAAATAACTTATATCTTTGTCTGTATCTACGGCTTCTTTTAAAATATTCCGATGATTTTCTTCAAACTCCCGCCAATTATTATTTAAAATATTTAATCTCTCTGCAAAATATCCATATGAACTACGACTTTTTGACTTTTTATAATTGCTATAATTTTTATTTATTTTATCTTGAATACTTTTCTGAATTTTCATTAAACCTTCCATTTTTGTTTTAGTAAATTGCCAATTGAAAGTTGAAAGTCAATTAATAACCGTTTGCACTGAGTCTTAAACGATACACTGGGTGAGTGAGCATAAAAAAATACAAATGTCTATTCACAATGTCGCACTGATTACTAAAGTTCAAGTTATTAGAGTTAGTTCAATAATCACTGAATGTTACAATATTTAAACTCACAAATTTTTCTAAGTTTTTTATTAGAACCCGAAAATTTTACAAGTGTTTTTTGCATTTATTTCGCTGTGTTTTCGGGCATAGGTTCCCCGTCTCACACAATTTTGGCGAAATATTCTAAGTCCAGTTCACTAATTATTTTTCTAAGTCCCTAAGCTACTCCTAACCAATAATAACTTGATTGTACTTACAGTTCGTCCCAGCTACTTACGACACTAAATCACTAGCTCACTCACCACCGAACTTCACTTCACTAAAGTACCACTAGAGGTCGCCACTGTCCGGGTCGAAGGCCAATGTTTTACTCGAGGCCAAGAAATCAAACAACACCGAATTGGATAGTAAACAAAGATATATTCGGGTGTAAATCGAACTCAATAATTACAAAATTCCGTACAGTGGTCATAATCAAAGAAAACGAAACTATAGCGCGTTGTACATTTCACCTAGCGCCATCTAGTATAAATATTGAGAACTTTAATTGATATTGGTCGAACAGCCTACCTCGGTTACTATTTATATTATTTCTTTTACACCAATTTCAACTGTAAATAATCACATTATGAAGGCGAATTATTGAAGTTATGGAAGATTTTCATTTATTATTTTTTGTATAATTTAATTTGAAAAGATTGCTTTTAGCAATAAGCCCGCCTTATTGTAACGATACATGTGTCCTTTGTTATATTGTTTGTGCTTCTTGTTTACTGTATGTTGCAAATAAAGTATATTCTATCTATATATCTATAATTTTTTTTGGTGTTTGGATCTATCATATTCAAGAATACCTTTTCACTTTACGCATATGCATCTATGTGTAAGGATGTATGTATTTAGATCATAATTTAATTCATGCATAATGATTTAAGTAAAAAGGTTTACAATTTTAGTTATCACCGTGACATAACTAGCGGCAGAATAGGAGAAAGAAAAAAAGCAATACTTACATCAAATCAAAGTTTTCTGAATAGCTAGTTGTCTCTGTACGTGGATATGATATATAACCTTGGGTATAAAGACGCTCTGCAATCTATAAATGAAAAATGAATAGTCATATTATAGAGGTATGATTTCGCATACTAAATAAATTAAAAATCATGTGAAGACTAGAATAAATCTCTATAAAGTATATACTGGTCTAATGTGTACATACTATAAAATTTTATTGTGGCTGAATTTACACAAAAATTTTGTGATTTCTATGAATCAAGTAAAAAGTGTTGTAGTTCAGAAGACACACGCAACCTGTTCAACTTACGTTTCGAGTTAGAGCACAAGTAATATCACAAATGAAGTGAAAGCTAAGAAAAACGGAAGTTGCGTGGCTCACCTGAGTCAATAAATTATCATTCAGGAACTAATAACCCAATTACTAGCAACGTAAATCAGATCTACCTGTACCATCTATATAGGCCTCGCCAACATACATAATTAGGACAAGCAATCCATATTCATCCATGCAAAAAACCAACCTGCATGGCATGATGGGGTCCCATGCCCAATCCTGCACTGGCCACTCTCATCAGTTCCACAGTATTTAAAGCAGCAGGCCGAGGTTTTATTTTCTCCTTTGCTTGTATATTAGTGACCCTGTACAAATTACAATATAAATAAATCAGAAAACATAATGTTTATGTGCATATTATATTATCAAATATTATAAAAATTTAGCAAAGATTTAATTTTAGATAAGTAAATATTTAGAATTTTTATCAGTGTATGGATGGACTAACATGAGAAACTAGTATATAATAGGATTTATTTTATACTAATCAATTCAAAAACAAAAGTAAATATGTGACATAGAAACAAATTTCAGTCTATTTAACAGAACTTATTATTATTGACATCCAAATAAATATTGTTGGTAGTACCAACAATATTTATTTGGATGTCCAACTACATATTAAATAATAATAACTTACGTAGCTTCTTTAATCTCCTTGATTCCAGCTAAAAACATATTAGCTATATCTTTCTCGAAACTTCGAACTCTCTTCCACTCTAATGGTAGTTCTCTCCCCTCTGATGTGGATGCTGTAACTCTGAGCACCCAGTATGTCTCAGGTTTAAAGGTCTGTATTTCATCATGGCGTTGTACACAAAAGCCAAGAGTTGGTGTTTGACATGGACCATAAGATATAAGTGATGCATCCAAATCACCATATCTACCTGAAATGGAAAATTAATTGGTAAAGATGTAAGAATTAAAATGTGTTATTGCTGGACAAATTAATTGAATGGAATTCAAAAGTATAATAGATTAGACATTGATCCAAATTGATATTCATAACACCATGAAATATATTTGCTAGTTAGATAAGAATGGGATATTTGACTATTATACAGAGAGTGTTATGGAGTATTCTATCCCTTCCATGGCATAGTAACTTTCACTCAAAATGTTGCGAGTCAATTGTACGTATCAATTTATATTTCTGGCTAACTCTTCCATGATATTCAGATATAATAGAAACAAAAAATAATCTGAGATATTGTAGTAGACTTCACATTCAATTTTACCCAGTGAAATGTGGGCATGTTAAATATTCATCATTACATTGATAATGTAAACTGTCTATACTATGTTATTCTTTAACAATACAAATTGTTAATGAATAAATAAGGCAAAAATATAAAATTTCTATTATTAAGATAAGTATATAATAATAGTAACACTTTTACTACCTACTGAGCATCTATCTCACACTATTCTAGAGAGTACAGCATGGAGCTTTTCAAGAAAGGTATAATAAGGTTTCTGAAGGGCCAGCAATATGCACATTGACACCCTTAGTGTTTCAACTGTCCATAGTTTACAGTATCCATTTACCTTTAAATGGGCAGGAAAAAAATTACCTTGAAAGTATTTAGTCTGAAAGCGAGTAAATGCACATCCAATTCGTAAATCCAGCTCTTGACGTGCATCCACACTTCGAGATTCATTCTCATTAGGTCTACCAAGGTTAAGCATAGCAGCCTTAATGTCCTTTTCTGTAATAGCAGAGAAATGCGCACGATAGGTAACTTGGGGAGTAAAGACATCCCCTTTCATATAAGACTGAACGCAGTTCATAACCTAGAATAAAGAAAAAATCAAACCATATATTAAAATTTATTGAAATATATATATATTTGTAGCACACATACTCTAATAACACTTTACTCTAATAACACACAAAAATATACTAAAAGTGGTGATAAACAGTTTCATTCACTCAAGAGTCTGATAAATATGTTACTATTTATTGAGTACTTATGTGATATTTGGACGATAAAAATATTTATTTACCTTTTAAGTGTTATTGGAACTGATTATAATACTCTTAAATACAAGATGATCATATTTATTTACCCAGTAGAATTAACACCTAAACTGTAAAAAACATATTCCTCCTACCTTTTGCAGTATTTTTACCAATATTTTCACTAAATGTCTCGAAAGTACAAAACAGGTAACAGATCAAATAGGTCTGCATTTTTTTAAATACTATAAATTTATAATAATATACACAAATAATAAGTACCTCAAAGCATATGTTTTCACCTTCTTTATCACAATCAAGCCACAAAACAAGGAAATCACAGCCTCTTGATTCCTGCGCTAAAAAGGCCGGTATTCTCAGGCGAGGCATAGCTTCTTTCTTCTCTGTTGGACAACTGAACAACTCCACTGGATCAACTTTGTCCCAATTGTTGTATTTACCGGTAAAATCCAAGCTCATCACATGTCCGCACACCGATGTCATTTTATAGCGGACCGCTTCATTCTTGAATGTCCCATTCCATTCGTGTATGGCACAAGCGGAATTGGAACCTATAATGAAAGTTTAATTAGTGGATTGGTCGGAAAATCATATCAACTTTCTCAAAAATAATATATGGAAACAAACCTTTATTAGTAGTACATTTGCCATTGCTAAGTATATTTGCAAGATTCTGAGCTAAAGATGGCTTTTCTGCCACCATAAGAGCCGTTTTCATCTTGGTAACTTGGAAATTGAAATCATATATAACTCTAACCACACAGAAAAACTAAGAAACTAAAATAATAATGAGTAATATGAATTATGAAGAAAATGTACTGCCGGAGGTACAATCTAATAAAAATTAATCTTAGATACTGACAGATTGACTTACTAGCTGACTTAACTATATGACTGAAATTCTGCTTTAGTTTCTGTGTTGTCTGAATTGGCCTGTGGTATTGCGGATATATAAAATAAATTGTAATGAAGGTATTATATTATCCAATGTAAACTTGGAAACATGATTATGTCCATCTACGCAGCTAATATACATATCTCTATTATAAAGTTCTATAAATGGAATATCTTAATAAATCTGCATATACTATATATGCAGATTTAATTGGATTTAATAATATTATAATTCGCTTATTTTCTTTTATCTTAGATGTCACCTAGCTTAATAGCTTGACTCTTCTTGCACATGACATTTGTTAGATGTATTATACATATATCCATTTCAGTTACGTAGATGAAGTATAAATTATATACCATAATTGAAATTCTCATATCAATAACTTACTCTATGTTTTATATATTGTCTCTTTCGCTTATTGCTTAGTTTCATTATTTCTTTCTTGTATAAAACAAATACTAGTGAAAATTGAAGTGTAAATAAATAGCTATTGATTTTTTAATAGTTACAGAATACTAGAATTTGCACAATTTTTAAGTATAAACGTGATTTAAATTTGTTGTGCCCATTGCATTTGCTGCAGTACAGTCATGGTACGTATAAAATTGTTCTGAAATAGTTTATATAAATACTTTCCGTTGTTGAGACACATAAAAAGTGATTATTTTTACAGAATCGTCCTCGGGGTGATAATATTTGTCCATCGCCACACCTGAGAGTGGTATTACCCAATTCAATAGACACCAATATGCCTCCACCTTTTATTGACATTAGTGAGTATTTAGATATCTACATATACTTAGTACCTTTTATTACATATTACTATCATCAACCGTATACTATTATACATATATATCTTTGAAAGTAATTTTTACAAGCTTTTGCATATATTTTTCAATTTTATTATGAAGAACTTAAATATTCAACCATACAATATCAACTGTTAAAAAAGGAACTGAATAAATATTGATTTTTTAATGTTAGAAATTATTGCTGGTGATCTGTATCTTGATCCTTTGGTGTTTGAGGACAAAATTAATATTAGTTTTTAAGTTAAGATTTATTACTATTATCATAATTTGACATGGTCTTTGATTATTAAATGGTAAGTCACTGCACTCATAAATATACTGATACAGTGATGTTTTTTATTATTTAATCAATAGCTTCAGACCTTATTACATTTAATTATGCAATACTTATTAATCCTCATGATTACAGATAACTTACAAGATATACCACCACCCCAGGCTGATTTCTCTGCGCCACCACCTTATGATGTGGCAACCAATTCTAAATTGCCCACCTATGAAGAGGTGCAACGTGAGAAACAAATGGAGGGTGATGGCCCACCACAGGTATTTGAAAAATATTTATTTTTTGTTTGTAATAAACTTAAAAGCTATTTCAGAATATATTTACTTGTAATTAGCTATATTAACCCCTAGTAACATTAAAGAAAAATATAGAAATCCCTACCTAAAACTTAAAGCTATGCGAAGGCTGGGCGAGGCACTATTACCTACATATATATGATACATTGTTGTACAAAGTAATGTTAATCACTATTGAACTACCTCCTGAGGTTTTCTCACGAGACTACAACATGTGGCTTTTCAAGAAGGGTACATTAAGGTTTCATACTGGTCAGCAACACACATGTTACACCCTTGGTGTTTCAGACTTCCATAGGCTAGCTGGTAAGCTATGGTAACCATTTACCATCAGATGGACCATATGTAATTTGTCACCGTAGTAGTATATAAAATAAATTTTAATGGATGGTTTCCTTATAATAATAACAATAATGCTTTAATAAAGTTTTATCTAGTTTATGTGTATTGTATAATCCAGATACCTCTCTTTTTTACTTTGCTATGTGTGAAAATGTGCATGTGTAAATTTTGTACTATATTGATATTAGCATACATAAAGCAATATATAATAGTATACCTATAGCATATACTTTGTTTGGATTCTGCTCAATAATCAGAAGTCAGGATATATTTCTATTACATAGGTATACAAATTTGTTTACAGTTACAGGGACCTCCACCCCACCACCCGACATTTGCTTTTGTGACAGTGGAGCCTACAGAAGGGAGTGCTGAACAGTTAGATCCCGAGAACAGTCTTCTCGGCACAGACATTATGTTTTTGACTTCATTCTTTGGTAAGCTTTTCCTTGGATATGATTGGTAATGTACTTTAAATAGGAATAGTATCCTCGTACAAAGTACTTAGTGCTTATGTATGTATACTGGCATATATACAAATAAATAGATACATACATAATTAATTTATTGTTAACTTAACACAACAAATTACAATCAATACACAAAGTAAGAAATAAAAGATAACATACTAAGTTGGCAATAGGAGCTTCCTCAGCTGTTGACATAAGTACAACCTCAATGAGGTGCACTTATATAGTGCTTGTTTTCAGACAGAAAATAACTCATGAAAAACTACTAACATGCAGGTTTATTTAATTATCTAAATATAATAAAATAAAAATATAAAAATTGCTCTTATGATATCTAATATAATCTCTAATTAATTTTCATCTGTGGACTGTTTGTAGATAATGTTTTCCCTATTGGCCCAACTAGGAACTTGTATTAAACTCCTATTTGTTATGGAATGCACTATGACTATTAGACTATGTCTGTTAGGGGACATCTTAATATATTATACAACAAATGCACCGGCGAACTTCGTCCATGTGGAATTTAAGTTTATTTCTCTAAAATAAAAGCAGCCTAAGTTACTCCTTATTACATCAGCTACCTGCCAATAAAAGTCCCTTTCAGAGATTAGCCGGAACAAACAGACAGACAGACAGACTGACAAAATTGGTAAAATGTTATTCTGGTGTATATATCGTATTTATATTCATAAATTTCATAAGCATGTAGTAAAAAGCGGTTATTTCAATATTACAAACAGACACTCGCAATTTTATTTATATGTATAGATTTGCATAATGTTTAAGTCTCAAGTTTATGCTGAAATGTCTTGTTTTAATACTCAAATAAAAATGTAAAGTTTCAAAATCTAAAACTCCTATCCTAGGGGATGAAAGGGGTCCATGATTTTTTACACGAACTTTGTGACTTCTCCAATCCCATGTAATACTAATATCATATTTTGTCGATCATAAGGCCTTTACATTACGTATTTTATGCATAGTCGCTCATCTGTGCTGGCCCTAAAATGTAATTTTAATTTATCAGTGGCATTCCTGTTCAATTGGATCGGCTTCCTGCTGCTGATGTGTTTCTGCCACACGGTCGCAAGCCGATATGGGGCACTGGCCGGCTTTGGTCTGTCGCTCGCCAAATGGACACTCATCGTCAAACATTCCACCGAGCTTGCATCACATGAGAACTCCTGGCTGTGGTGGCTCATTATGGCGTTTGGTTAGTAATACTCTTTTATTATTATTTATATTACAATAATTTATATTTTTAAAACCTGTCGCAAAAAGAGAAATGTTATACATATGACGCACCTGTGGGTCTGTGTCTCTATCTATGGCATTGGAACTACTATCCTATTAACCAATACTGAACTGGACGGTAGGGAAAAAAATTTAATGTAAAAAATTTGACTTGTAAAATGTCGTACATGAATGGATTTTTTGTTTCAAACTTGACGATCGAGATGCTTCTACTTTTTTTTTATTCGGATAATATTTAATGATTGATTTTCTATTCTATTCTATTTTTATATATTGCAATTGGAATGACAAATGAGCGAACGATCTATTTCCTGTAACAATGTTGATAAGCTATAACCGTCGCTCTATATACATACATGAACAGCACCGCGGACGTTATCTTGTGACTCCCGTGATACCACTCATGCGTTGACATTCCGATGAACTAAGACGTCATGCCTCTTGTAATTTCAATCTGACCTTACATCCTAGACACAGATTAGAAAGAATGTCTTCATGCTTATAGGCAGCAATGAACAAGCATTTGATTAGGTATACTCATTTTAACGACTTATGCAAACTATTAAGCTTGCCCATACAGAGATAAATACATGACGTAAGTACGTCAATTAAAATTAAAAAGATCAATAATCTATTTGTATTGTTTGTTTCAATACTACAGAAACTATCTGTTGATAATGCACTATCCATTATGGTGCAATCAGAAATTATGATTTATCAAATCTTATATCGACATACTTTTTATAAAAACTCGGTATCGAAGTTTCTTGTTGTAACACCTAATTAATTATAATAAATTATGTTATTGATTGATAGGCAATGTTACATGCATTTGTACCATTTATCTCTCTCTGTGTGGCAAGTAAGTAGTTTGCACAATCGTCTGCCTGTCTCTGTCTCGCCTGTTTCAATCAAGCAGCTTGCTTTTTAAGTAGTGTTTTAGTTGAATGGTGAGACATGGCAGTGAAATTACAGGGTATGGAGGCGTTTATTTTTTTTATGGGTGATAATGGTGCACATTGTTGGAACCCACAACATTTTGTTTCGATAATTTTTTATTTTGTAACACAGCAACACCCGTTACAAGAGAAGAGAAGAGGAGTTCTCTTGTAACGGAACTCCTATTTGAATACAGTAATACATAAGACTCCATCAATCAATCAAATTAATTGTTTTTATTACAAAGATCTTAATTACAGTCCACTAACAATCATCATAAGTTTATAAACACACATCTAAGCTATAATTGTACGTGAAAGATGATAGGAGGAGCATGTCAAAACAATTAGCCCAATGTATTCATCAGGACTTAACAACGATAGTTTCTAGAGGAGACTGGGTGGAGGTCGACCTGATACGGTACATTGCTAGCAATAGGGCCATTAGCCATACTGACAATCGCCACCCCGAGGCATGACCTTGAAATTGCAACGCATGTGTGAGTTGCAACGGCGCTCTGTGATGTGGTGTCCGTAGTTCTGTTTATATACTCGTATATAGGCGACGGGTACCACGTGTTACTTACCGGCAGCTTGTTTGTCATTATAGTTAAATGTATAATTTTAGATCTGACTGTTTTTTTTTTCTTTTCTAGGGATTTTAATTTGCATCCGTGCCATCATCCAATACTTAAACATCAAGCGAGGCTGGCGGCTTCTCTCCGGCACTGCTCAAGAACGACTATTGTTCTTCTACTAATTAACACAGCTTTTTATCTCACTCTTATGAAACATTATCATGTGTGGGTATATAAGAAGGGAATGTATCTATGTCAGTTGGTTCGTCTAGATGTGTTAGCTTAAGGAGGATGTTTAAGATATATCGCTCACTACGCAACCATTCCCATGGTTATGCACTATTATGGTCGTAAATTGCAACCGCAGAAATTTTGTCAGATATTTCACCACAGCCCCAATTCTAGGTATGAATCGTTACGGCCTAGTGGTGTTATCTCCGTTGGAAGATCGAATTTGGTTGACACAAAAATTGTATTAGTATTTCTTACTATCTCCTGTAAAGGAAAATATCTAATGAATAAGATTATTACAATAGACGGATGTAGATTTATCCCAAGCCATCTTACCCGTTGGCACATACCTAAAGTGTTGTCAACATTACGACGTCGAAAGTTAACGTGTTTGCAAAGAAGTAAGTACCTATATAGTTTCCACGATCGCATTTTCTACTGATTGTGGTATTGTAATACGCGTAGTCCTAAATACTTAATTCATTCTTACTAGATGTTTCACATTGTAGGCCGATTTATAATTGTATTCATATTAAAATGGTCTCTATTGTAAATAACGTGGATGATATTTATTTTAAATAACGTCCATGGTCTATACTAGTCTTAAGTTTTGTATAGTAATATATAATATAGTATTTTAAAATATAAAATCAATTGATTTAATTACTTAATGATTTACAATAACGTTTATAATCGCTTACTTAATCCGAAACTTAAGTAATGTTAGTAGCAACCAGTCACAGCTTCTATATAGGGCCGTCTTAAAGTTCATCGCCAAACGATATGTTGCGGATTATAGAAAGCTGTTTAAGACGTATGCCAATACTACTAAGGCTGTATTCATAAAAACAGAAATAAACTTTTTACTATTGTAACATTTCGTCAATCTTTAACATGGAAAAATAAACCCCGAGAGATAAGGCCAAAACAGCAGAGCTACTTTGGAATCATTTATCTTAATATTAATAACAATCAACCAATATACAATTTTGAAAAACTATTTTGAAACATCATCACATCTAAACTGAATAAATCTGTAACAATGTCAATTAGTTTCTACATTGAACACCAAAAATAAATATCATTTCATACCCTTTATATACTCTCTAATTATACAATAGTAATAATTCAAAATTATTTAAATTATAAAACAAAATAATCCAACGCCAATGCATCAGACTTCGTTTCTAGAATAGAACGGTAGTTCAATAGCTGACATTAAGTTATTAGATATTTTTATGAATAAAGACAATACAGTCAACTTTACATTAACTAGAACATAGTAGTTTAATCTGTAGTATCTCTACTTAAATTTTCCCATAAATTATAATATAAATAAAAACTACTTACGATACTTTTATGTGTATCTTTATATTATATATTTACACATAATTTGATTAAGTAAATAACAAGTTATTATAAATACATCGAAATTGAATTTTTTTTATCAGGGTTTATGAAACTTATTTATATTATTAGTATCAGTCTATATATTGACTAATCTGCTTATTTATAAAAACGGTAAAAGTCTCATAAAGTACGACGACTTTGGATATTAAATTATTCTGACTATCTCTTACAAGCAATCTTCTTGATTAGAAAGAAGATAAATGTACACTATATAAGTAAAATTGTTTTAGATTTCAGTGTTTATAAATAAAGAAGTGATTATTGGCTGTAATCATTATGGCGTTGATTTATGTAGGTGTTGTAAATAACATTTACACTTTGCGCATACAATTTTACATATATACTTACAATAAGTATTTTATTTCTAAATATTTTTTTAATTTGTTTTTGGTAGCTTTTAATAATATTTTAAACGAATTACTTTAATTCGAAATATATAGTTTTGTATATCATTCCAAGAGTTGTTGACCTCTGTCATGTTTACTTGAGGTATACATGAATTTGTTTGAATCTAGCAGGTTACATTATTGTTTATAAATAAATATTTTAATATATGTCGTTATAGTCGTATAGTTATTTCAGTAGGAAGTAAAATTGTTTGTGAATGCAAAGGTAATTTGACTAAAGGGTTCATGATGATAATTTATTTTAATAGTTATAGTAAAAAAATCCGATTAGTACGCATACACGTATGTACTGTTTCACAGTCAGTTGCATACTGTACAGTTCGAATTTGTCAAGTAGTTGTTACATAACTCTATTTGAATTCACATATGTTTTAAATTATACAATTAAATAGACAAATATGTACATGGACTTGTGCAATAATACACTTATTACTACTCGTATTTCAAGACGGAGCTAGGTAAAACCCACAGCGTGATTTAGAAGAAGAGACGAAAACGGCGACTTTGCTTTATATTATTTATAAATATCTGAATATTCACGCTAGATTTGATCAGGTAGGCAGAGAAAATTTACTACTAATGTAATTGTACTACAACTTAAATATAATGTAAGAATGAAATGATTTGAAGGAAACGACATTGTTGCCAGTTATTATATTGGTAATGTAATTAAATAGAAATAATTAGACTTCGATAATTATAATCACGATTTAAAATAGGTAATATAACACGCAAAAAATATTTTATTATAATAGCATGTAACACTTATTATTTACAGTTCTGCCCAAAGGTTTTTGTTTTGAAAAGATTCAGGTATATCGTATAATGTAACATTATAAAAATGAATAAATAACTGCGCTCATATGTAAATAGATAAACATTGTTATATTAATATTATTTCGACTTTCTAAATATTGAACTTAAACCTTTTGGTACATACATAACTGTAATAGTAAAGAATGTTAGAAAAAACAAGCGTTGCGTACACAATAATCTCGATAGCTGGACGATGCCTCTGTCTACCCCATACGGCATAACAGTCACGGAGCTATATGATTGTTATTATTAAGTATGAATATTACTACATACATTTTCCTTTATTAAAAGAATCTGGGTTTGGGAGTACTATGTGATCTTTAGTTTTTAGGCATCGTCTCTGCATAAAAAAATAAAAATAGCGATTTTAGCCTTAACTTAGTAATAGAAATAAATTTAATTGTTTACAAAATGTATTTATTTGCAATTTTTATAATAATTGTAGATTAATATACTTGCATCACATTGCATAACTAAATTGTACTTTTATGGAAATAATGAGTCGTCCTTCGTCTTTTTGTAATTAATTAAATTGGTAGTATAATAGATAGACGACAATTTGCGTGTGCTTGATGTTTTAAATACTTAATGTGTATATTAAATATGCTTTACCAGATCTGCACCAAAAATCTATTGGTTATACTATTATGAAACATGGTTTTAATGGACACAATTTTTGTTAGTGCAATAATAATATTAGTGCAGACTTTTAATAGATAAAATAAATACCATTATATTGTAGCGTGTTTTTTTATTTCTTTACCTTTCAGAATTACTGCCAAAAATTGTTTTGTTAACTTTATTCAAATAAACTTAATAAGCATTTTTGAATAGTTCAATTTTTTATTCTACCACTAATTTGGAAAGGATACCTACTCATACAGGATACCTACAAGAAGAACGAGCGAAAAAAGGATCATGGTGCTCTTTTAAATAAATGTTAATCATTACCATTTTAAGATTTTGTCATTTGTGTTTTGTCTGATAGATACTAATTGTGAAGTTAACAGTTTAAAACATGAGTTTATCTTATAGATATAATTATTAAAAATGTATTTTGGCTTATGAATAAATTATGTAAACTGCTGGCTTAACCAGCAATATCAGCTTACCAGGCATCGTGAAGTTAAAACAGAATTACGACGCTATGCACCATTAGATTATAATCAGTTATTTTACTGGTTTATCGTTATATTAGTTTTTATATCCAAAATCTCGGAGTGATAGATAGTGAAAAAGTGGGAAAAACAAAGATCAGACCAAAAATATGTAATATATGGTAACTATCTAACATATATTGCATATATTTTTCAAAATAACATGTTTTTATTTTAAAAAAGTACAACAGTAAAACTACAACGTAGTAGTAAGTAAGCATAGTTACACCACTATGATTGTGACCTAAATATGGAGATAAAACTGTCATTGTGATATAACCACACCAGGTCTACTAGTCTACTAAACGTTTTTAGTATTTTACGTCTGTTTGTGGAAGAACAAGCCATATAAAAAACTGAATGATTAAAAGATAACGTCCAGTTGAGGGCTTACCTACTGTTCTAATTCTATCAGGGTGATCTCATTTTTGTATAGATTCTATACACCTGCAAAAGAATCTAGAAATAGTGTGCTGAAACAAAGCCGCATCGACCCGGCCAGTAAGGCGCCTAGACGGTGAACTCAATCCCGCCAAATTATCGTTCCTACTTGATTCTTGCCACGTGATTAAAGTTATGACGGACTAAAATGTATGCCGAAGACTCCCTAATTCTTTGTACCAAGTCAAAGTTAGTCATTTATTGTACATTGACTATAAGTCTACGGTTGAGTATTTATTTTCTCTGTTGAAGATAGGATTTTTTATTATTATTAATGGGTTTGCGCTTGGTCTAACCTCATCTGATGGGAAATGATGGATTCCGTCGGTCTTATAAAAAAATGTATTATATATCTACCCCACTCTATCTTGTCCTTCCCCATTCAACCAATTATACTTCGTTCAACCCCATCCTATCTCATTGTATGTATTTGATTACACGAAATATTTAAATTGATAGCATAGAACAGTTTGTACTGGAAAAGGAAAAGTCGGATTTTGGCGCTTTTCAGGGAATTTATTATCTTTCTTTTTCAAATCTCAAGTAAAAATTAAAATGTTCTCCTGTTTTGCGCTTAATTTATAACACATTTCGCGTTTAATTTATAAAGAATAGATAAAATATTTAAGATATGTCGCGAATTCCTTATATATAATATTAAATAATAATTAGGCATTTACTTGTTTAAAAAGCAATGCAGCTGTGATTTATATTGCACCACTGCATATCGGGTTGATAAGTCCTCAACTTGTCGTGTGCCAAAAACCACCCAGTCTGGCGCCAATAGCTGTGCAGGGTTGACGTACCTACTCATAATATCCGCAACCGCCCCTATAGAAATATTACCGCGTGTCCCATGCATTTCAATATTATAACGTGGCTCTATGCAGACAATAATTGTTGAGGGTGATTGTGAACACACGAAGTGCTCATATAACTTGGATATTTTTCACAAAATATTCGGTAAGTACGAAATTGTTTATTAAATATATAGTATTTTATTTAAATCTATACATATAAATAAAATTGGAGTATCTGTTTGTAATATTGAAATAATCGTTATTTACTACATGCATATGAATATAGGTAATTGCGTACATACACCAAAATAATTTTTTTTACAATTTTTGTCTGTCTGCTTGTTTGTTCCGGCTAATGTCCGAAATGGCAGGACCGATTTTGACGGGACTTTTTTTGGCAAGTAGCTGATGTAATAAGAAGTAACTAAGGCTACTTTTATTTTAGAAAAATAAAGTTAATTTTCACGCGGACGAAGTCGCGAGTACAGCTAGTTTAGAATATAAGTCCATATACTCATTTACTGACATTGTAAATAAAACAGTAGTTAAGTATATATTTACTTTGTACACATTGTAGGTAAGGGTTAAAAGAGTAACACGAAAACACCGAAAAGGTTACGGCGCTTGGCAGTTTTCCAAGAAACACATAGCTTTTTCATTTCGAATGAATGAAATAGTCGATACCAATTTTTTTTATATTCTTATTTACATAAGATCCAAAGGCATATCTATACTTAATATTATAATTGCGAAAGTCTGTCTGTCTGTTAGTTTATCACGACATAATGGCAGAACCGATCTGAATGAAATTGTGTAAGTGACGTAAGTAAGTAAGTGAGTAAGCAGTTAACCATAGCACGCAAGGACGCATATCTGTAGTCTATTTTTTATCTCAAAAAACTAACAGCTGTTAAAATGTAAATTGGCTAGACTCTACTAGGAGGTAGAGTTCTGTAAAGATATTTCTACATTTCAATTGTAAGTCAAACTGTAATATATATTTAATATATGTATCTACATATATTTACTATATGTTTGTATCATATGTACGATGATATTTATACTACCTATACTCTATTGTTTTTTAATATACTACGAGGGTGGCAAATACGGCCCATCTGATCGCAAATGGTTACCGTAGCCTATGCACGTCTATTGCACGTCTATAGAATCACCTATATCTATTGAAATTAAATTATGACTTAAAGAGTTTGAATAATTTAACGAACCTTCTATTAGTCTTTAAATTTCACTGGATTTTTTATGTAATCCTTATAAGTACCTGCATAATAATACCTAGCAATTCCTGTTCAATGTGGATGTGAAAAAAAGGTTACGGTTCGCCTGATTATCGTAACCGTTAAATAAGAACGTCCACCATTAATTAGGAGTATCAAATAGGCGCTGTCGATTCGAAGAAACCTTTCTAGTTTCTGTACACATTTTGCTAGCACGAACAAAAATAACATTGAACATACATGGTGCTTATAACTTCAAGGTTGGCCTTTGTCTGGCAGGGTGTGTATATTACGCACAGAATTCTGAATACAGAATCAATCTGTTAAAGAGTTTTTTCCCTTTTAATACTGTAATGACTTTACTGACCTATATTGTATACGGATTATTTACTGTATCCAACATAATATATTACAATAATTTCATTAATCGTATTACTAATAATTGTATCCTCAAGATATTACAACTTCACCCACTTACTTTCGTACTTCTCCAAAAAGCTGTAACACTAAACACATATAGAATAGTCCGTAACATTTTAACGTAACATTGTATTAAGCGGAAACATAAGTTGTATAAGTGCACGTTGGCGATCTAAACACTACATGCTTAGTCTTGAGAGAAGATACTTAAGCCTAATTAAGGCTAAATGATGTCTAAGACTATAATGTGGCTCATGGAGTATAGGTTTATTTAATTCTATTAAAAATTGATTGGAATTATAATATTTTCAAGTCATCTGCTCATCAACTCTATTATGTGACACTCAGTGCTCATAACACAACATTGTGATTGAACAATGTGTATGTCCAATCCTCACTCCTGTCAGAATATACATGTGAGAGTACTTGAGATGGGTGTAAGATTTGACATGAATAAGTCATGTCAAATCTTACACCCATCTCAAGTTTCTGACAACAATTGCCTATTGCTACTACAACGCATGGTTAGTCGTACAAAATATACGAAGCCGAAAGACAGTGGATGGAACAGAATAAGTTTTTGAAATAAATTGCAAACTCATCTTCATACAACATGCAAATTACGATTCAATTTAATACGAATAGTATAAAATTCCTTTACTGATTTCCATTTTACTTCATGATGATGAAAAAAAGATATTTGGACAGTATAAAAGATGATATGGCAAGAAAGGGCCTGAATAACGACATGAGGCATTATACACACAACCTCTTCCGATATCAGCTAAAAAGGAATATAAGGTTTAAAAATAAACATAACGTGAATATCATTTCTTTCCCTCCACCTTGTTATTACAATTGTTACTTTCTTCGCCGTTTGAAGTACGGGTATTTCTGGATCGATTCTTAATAATGTTTGCTATGTATAGATATAATAACAATCGATGTTTAGTTGTAAGTAGGTACAACGAAATGTCTATTGTTATTACCTACATCGTATTGTTTTCTTATATGTAATAAGTTGTTATTTTCCTGTCTTTTAATACAGCATAAAGAACGTAAGTACCTACATATACTAGAATATAACTAAGCAATTTCAATTTACCAATAGAATAGAATAGAATAGAATAGAAAATCATTTCTTCAAATAAACTTAATTTAAGCACTTTTGAATAGTCAACAATTTTTTTTTAAATCTACCGATTTTCGGAAAGCTGTATCACGAAGAATAAGCAAGAAACTTGCTGTACTAGCTTAGTAACTTTGTGTAGACGGTATTTAGGTAAAATGACCTTATTTTTATTGCGTAAGTTTCTACTTGTACAGTCGTTAAGTTTCTTGAAACTATCTAAGTTTTTCCTTGTATACATAATATTTTCATAAATGTACTGTTCCACCGCAAGTGTACACTCTTGCGGTGGAAACTCCGTAAACAGACCAAAATAATATAGAAAGAGGTAGGTTCGCCCCTGTCTCGTTATGTTATGAACATATGAAATGTTGTGTTAACATAAGACATCGACAGTTGATAATGGCTCTGACTACCACATTTGGGATAACAAATTTATAATACAAAAAAATAAAAAACAATTAAGAACATAATCTATTTCGAAAATTGGTTAAAACTATACTTTTATATACCCAAATATTTCACAAAGGAGGTTAAAGGCCTCTATGGTTGCCATGGAGCTAGGAGCGAAGCGGCGACAGAATGGCGGGGACCAAGATTACGACCGAATTATTATGTACTCAACGAACGATTTTGTCTTCACCTTATGTATATTAATATGACTATTATTACAGACCATAAAATTATGTATACTCACAATATATTTTAGTAATAACTTAGGTATTTAGTAGATTAAAAAAAGAATGGAAAAATAATTATTTCTACTCTTCTACTATTTAATTACAACTATCTCATATAGACTCTCTAACTATATATATTCTTACTTGTTTATTAAAAACTGTGTAAAACGTTATATATAGAGATGATATTATTGTTATTAATTTATGTGACCATAATGTACATTTTCTAATAGGTCATCATCATTATATATAAATAAGAAGTAGAAATAATTGGCATAATACCTTAATATTGTTTGTGTTGTACCCGTGATTTACTTTTTGTACATTTAACATCATAATAACTATTATTAATAATAAATGGTAGATCTTATTGACAGATAGAAAAGAAGTATATTTTTTTTATTATAAATAATTTAGTAGCTTTTATACGATAAAGGAAGGTTCAAGTGCTAACGAACATATGTATAATGAATGTAACTATAAAAGAGATTCTGTCGAGCTACAGTATGAATATTGTATGGATATATATAACAAACCAACCACTAGTGTATGAATATTGTAAGCAATGTGTTAGTAAATAATCATTTACACCACAATTGTCATGCTTAGCCGTAATTAATTTAACCAAACACCCGAAATTCCTACAAGGGATGATATGACGTAAAAATGACGTCAAAGGAACTACGAAAAAAATTACATAACATACGTCAACGAACGTTGCACAATATAACACCTGATGATCACCAAGTGCAATTTCACGAATGCACAGACGCTTACGTCTGTGAATGAATTGTGTGTCTAACCCCATATCATTAGTACAATGGCATAAGGTGCAATTTGACACGATTAAATAATTATAATAATAGCATAGTCTTACTGGCAAATGTACTTGGCTTGTAACGATATCCCATTTTAAACTAATGGGGACAGTCTAGTTGGCCCTTGATCTAGATGATATTTTATTCATAGGTTACTGTGTGCTTTATGCTTAATAAATAATAATAGTATTACTAATAATCGTGGACAAATCAAACAGCTCCATCTAGTCCCAAGTGCATAGTTTGTGTTATGGATACTAAAAAACTTAAGTATATACATATAAGATATAAGGAAAATACCCTGTCCAATAAATACAAACAGTTTAGAGGGGATTGACAACCCCATTGCTAGCAATGTACTTTGTCAGGTCGACCTCCACGCGGTTCCCCCTGGAAACCATCGTGTTAAATTCCTGGTGAATTTGTCACGATGGGCTAACTGACCTGACCTCATGCTCATCTTATCATCCTCCACTGGTGCCCCGCCAGCGTAAACCGTTAGCGCAGGCGGGTGCACCACTCCATTATCATCCACAAAAAAAAAATACAAACAGTTATAATCATGAATAGAAAAGTTTCTATCGAGCGAGGAATCGAAACCGCAGCGGGTGCGGTGCGGTGTGCTAATCCCGTAGCCGTCCTACGCCGTTCATAGATTTGCAACTGCATTTCCCATCTATTATTATAATTTTAATTATTAAACACAATTTTGAAATATAACGACAACTTATTATTTTATATATGTTTATTAGCTACTTTTTTATTCTTTTGTCTCCAATAAATATTAAATTACTGTAGAAAGCGCTATATTTACACGTCTGTGTGTCTGTTTACTCTATAAAGGAATGGGTATAATCCTTTATGGAGTAAACAGAAAC